GGTTTTGGGGATCAAATAATAGATCGCGCCATTAAAGGATGCTTTTAGTATGGGGTCTGCTCGCTATTCGCAAGGACCGCTATTCATACTGGATCGCTATTCATTTTGGCGCACGTTATGGATAGCGATCCTTATGAATAGCGGTCCTTATGGATATCGAGTTTGACCCTTTGGTATAATTAGTCTATTAATGGTTGTTATTATATTATCATTATCAACCTCATAAATTGGATACGAGAAATTATGCTGACATTTCCAAGTAGTATCGTTGTTTTAATATAAAGCTTGTATAACATAGTAAAGGAGCTATTGATAAGTCTGCATACATTAATCTTTCAGATGTAATGACTAAGGCATGTGAAAGACAAATAGTTTGAAGCGTTTATATTTATAGTTATCTCCTGCATGGCTTGCCTGTAATGTTCTAAAAGAGACACAACCTGGGTCTAATGATATTCATGCTTCCTAATTAATCACTCATAGCAAGCACAAGTGTGACCTTGATTATTGATTCAAAATGATTTGAATTTGACTATGGGATTGAGACATGTAGACTGACATCATCTCATCAGACACAACGTCAGACTATTACTTTACATTTACCCCCGATTATACAAACTAATCTGCTCATCCAATATGCACCGGCTAGGTTACTTTTATGATTACGTCATCAAATCAAATCAAATAGACAGTCTACTCTTAATACCTAATCAAGTCATCATATAATGTGAACGACAAATGTCCTATAACAATGTGATATGACCCTGTCGTAGTTTTTTTTAAATCCCTTTACATAAAAATAGGGAAAATGTCGAAAATATAATTTTGTTGACCATGTCATCATTGGTTAGAGCGTAACAAGTCAAATGTAAAAGCTTTCAAGTTGTGTGAACTTGCATGATAACTTAATCTGTGGTAAATATTATAATATTTATGAACGTTGACGACCCAACCTCCCTTCAAAATATATTTTTTGATCATAATATTTTGTGGCGCATCGGTACCGTGTAATATGGAGAGATGATTCCCTTTAATAAAGAACCCACATAACAATAACAAACAATATCAAATCTGACTTTGTTCATGTTATTTCAGGTTGACTACCCATCCATTGCTGGGTCGTGGGAAACGATTGATCGCAGGTAGTGGAGGCGTTAAGGAGAGAGAGAGAGAGAGAGAGGGAGAGAGAGGGAGAGAAAGAGAGAGACAGAGAGAAAGAGAGAGAGAGAGATAAAGAGAGAAAGATAAAGAGAGATAGAGAGAGAGAGAGAAAGAGAGAGGGAGAGAAAGAGAGAGGGAGAGAGAGAGAGAGAGATAGAGAAAAAGAGAGAGAGAGAGGCTGTTTACAAAAAGAACAGCATATATTTTGTAATTCAATGGCAACGTCAATTTTGTGGTATTTTTTTTCTTCCGTCCGTGATGCTATTTATTATCATAATCATTATTATATTCCTTATCATACTTGTTGTCTTTATCATTATAAGTATTATCAGTATTATTATCATTATCATTATCATTATAAGTAGTAGTAGTAGTAGTAGTAGTAGTAGTAGTAGTAGTAGTAGAAGAAGAAGTAGTAGTAGTAGTAGTAGTAGTAGTAGTAGTAGTAGTAGTAGAAGAAGCAGTTGTAGAAGAAGTAGTGATAGAAGTAGTAGTACGTAGTAAGGCCATCGATGTGTCCTATTTTGATTTGCTATAAAAGTTATTCATGTATATATATTTACAAACGAAAGTTGATAGTATGAGATACCAATAAAAGCAATTTATGTATATATATTTACAAACGAAAGTTGATAATATGAGTAGGTCACTTCCGCGATTGAGAGCATTGCGAAAGTGACCTACTGGTATCTCATATTATTATGTTAATGTTCTTTTGAAACTTTCATTGTAATTCATGTTCATTTTAGTTTTTAAATGCCAGACATGAAGATCTAAATAAAATCCCTTTATCTATTTACCTATCTATCTTGTAAATCCTGAAGTAAATCATTCTCTATCGTCTATGGCCAATTTATAATTTTAGACACTAAAAACATAAATAATAAATGAAAGTACGTAGTTATTGTCTTCAGTATTGTAATACTTGGTGTTTGCCCAGAAATTTATAAACGAGAGGAGGGAATCCTATCCAAATGGAGAGGGGGAGGCTCAAGCACCTGGGCAACCCCACATGCTAATCTATCTATCTATCAGGTTATAGTACATCCAGACGTTGGACAAAGCCCTCCTCATAACATTTCCATTCTCTTCTGTCTCTAGCTATCCTAGTCCAAGCGGCCGTTCCCATGTATGATGTTAGGTCATCTCTCCATCTTCTCTTCTGCCTTCCTCTTCTTCTCTTCCCCATCCTTGGTTGCCATTCTGTTAAGCAATTTGTCCATCTATTGTCCTGAAGTCTTGCTACAAACTTTGATTCCCTGACTTTCTCCATGATGTCTTTAACCTTTGTTTTCTGGCGTATGACTTTGTGATTGATTTTGTCTCGCAGAGATAAATGTTTCTTTCCATAGCTGGTTGAGTTGTCACAAGCTTCTGTTCTAGATCCTTTGTCAGTGACCATGTTTCTGATCCGTATGTCATAGTTGTTGGAATGCATTGGTTGAACATTCTTCTTCTTAGTGACATGGGTATGTTTTTTGTACGACCTATTGTAATTTAAGTTTTAGATTTTAAGTTAAGATATTTTTCGGTCTTGTTTCATAGGCCTTCAAACAGGGGAGGGATGTACGCCTGATTTCCCCTATGCTAGATATACCGCAGTTAAGTCCCAACTTTTTCTCCTTTGCATCCTCCTCACGCTTTTTCCTTAATTTTCTTCTTTCTTATCCATATCGCCTTTTACAATTTCCTTCTAATTCTGTCTCTCTCCCTCTTTTTATATTCCTTACTTTTTCTCCTTTTCTCTTATCATGCCATTTGCTCCTTCTTCTTTTTCTGCTTCACCTTCTTTTCCCCTCTTCCTCCCATTTCTCCTTTCCCCCTCATCCTCCTCCTCCTCCTTGTTCTTCTTCTCCTTCTTCCTCTTCGTCTCCTCCCACTTCTTATTCTTCTTATTATTATTTGTTGTCTTTTTCCCCCATCCTTCTGCTTCTTTTTCTTCTTGTTCTTGTTCTTCTTATTATTCTTATTCTGTGACGTCCTTCTCCGCTCTCTTTAATTCTTACTCTCCTATTTTCTTCTTTTCGAATATGAATATAAAGAAAACGAATACTAACGACAGCAATTCAAAATATAATTCCAGATATAATATCGAATATTCACTGTCATCACCGTAATACATGGTAAACATTTTACATTGAAACAAGGCAATTCACAAACGAGTAAAAGGACTTGAAGCACTTAACACCATATAGGTTATAAAAAAATTACATTTAAAATGATGGTAGATAAAGAGAAACTTGACTGAGAAATAAAATGAAAGACTGATGTCACAATCTTTTAAAAAATTGTGATGTTGTAGTTTTTATATAAGATATCAAGGTTTAACAAACCCACCATGCATACGCAGAGAAAGAAATAAAACAAACTGACACGTTTTTAATGAAAAGATAATTTCGTATAGTTTTTACAATTGTATGATGATATATGTATGGTATGAATACATCAGTCATTACTGAACTTCAGTAGTGAAACATCTTTTGAACGCCACATGCATATTCATCTACTCCGTATGTTCTTTTTTCATACTGAAAAGTTAAACTTATAAATGAACACAATCTTATTACAAACATGAAACAATACGTTATGAAACAACTCTTTAGAAAAGCCAAACACAAAAAGAGAATCTTATTACAAACCAATATACAAATAAAACAAGAATATTATGAGATGCTTTGAGTATTTCAGACATATATGAGCATAGATATCACGGCAAGACCTTTTTCCTATCTTCAACCAACTAATTAGAAGATTATTAACATTCTAAAAAGTAAGAAGGTAACAGAAGAAAAAACGAAATGTATACTTCAGGAGAAATCTGGTTGACGACGCATTACGCATTCTGAAAGTTGTGCCCCCCCCCAAAAAAAATAAATAAATAAATAAATAAAATAAAAATCGGGACGGATTTTTAGGCCACATATTCGTGTAGCCCCATATACATCTTTCTGTGTACAGTGCTTGTAACTTTACAAAGACTGGGTCAATTTTTTCTTCATTTTGATGATTCCAGAACCTGGCAGTACACACCAGTACTTATATGCTAGACGATGAACCTGTTCTGATTGATACCATACCGTTTCTTTCACAATGCAATTGCATGACCAGAACTCAACTTTATCTTTAATGACTCCTTCTATACATTCAATTTCTGTATCTAATGATTTAATTTAAGATTTTAAAAAAAAATCTGTTGAATATATGTATTAGTAATATGTTCGTCACTTCAATTCAACAGTAATGAATTCTGTGAATATTACAGAGGCGTATTACGTCATCTGAAAATGATTGCTATGAAATTTACGATAGAGTATTTTCCTTGAGTTTGTTTTTCGAAAGACTTTGAGATCGTGCTAAAACGATAAACGAAATGACTACATATAAAGACATAACATCAATATTGAAGTTGCATCCACAAAAATATATAATTATGATAATAACAGGTCTATACCAAACATATAGAATCACCAGTATTTTTTAATATCTTTATGATCACAATGAAATAATATATTTCCATGGTTTATGAAATCATAATATTAGCATGTAAGTGAAAATCATTTCTGCACAATTTCTAAATATACAGCAAGTAACCGATCAAGTTGCTTTGCACTAAGAACGAAATTGTATGGAATATTCACAAAACTTTAGGCTATCTGTGTATCCGACCAACTTTGGACAATTTTCAGCTCAACTCTGGTAATATTTTGCTCACTTTGCTGCAAATATTGTCATATTTTTATTATAATCAGGGGAGTTTATCCGAATTTGGCATAAATCCACACACAGTTGTCTGACAAATAATTATCCTCGTATTTTTTTTTTACCCATTACTTTAAAAAAAAAACAGAGTTCAGAATATGATGCTGGTGATCGGATGCAATAACATTTTTCCGCACTCCTCTCCATTTGGAGCATTCGAACCATTAGCCATCTTAAAAACGAGCACATGCTCATCCCCAACGATAATGGCGTGGAGAGTAGCAATGTAGCCTGTGGGCAAATGTCGAGACGAAGGATCGTAGTGACGGCCCTCGTATCCCTAGCCGATTGATCAAACCACTCTGCTTCGACACCTCTAATCGTGATAATATTAAAGTAGACTTATTTTGTTTTAAGATCTGCTTTGCCATTCTGCTTCCCGAAACCCCAAGTCGAGGGATTGTTGAAAGAAAATGCAGAAACTTTTCCAAAGAGTATATTCGGTGGGGCTATTTCATCATCGTCATCGTCATCGTCCAACTTGATGTCAGTCCAGGGAGCTGGCTGAACGTCACTCTCTGTATCCTCGCTCTCGAGTTCATCCGAATCGCTGATGTCATTGGCATCGAAGGCGGCGTTGTTGAATTCGAACGAACTGCCGCTGTTGTATAGCGGCGATGGGGGCGGTAAGGCAGGTGGGTTGTTTTCCTTCATGCGTTTCTCTAAGGCAGAGAGACTGGGTCGGTTGTAGGTCGAGTCTCGCTTCTGATATCGACTCGCTGTGGCACTAGGTGCGTCACCGTTGGTGCCGTTGTCGTTGACCACGTGGCCCCTGACGTCGGGTACTGACCTCGAGCCTCGGAGGGTAGAACCCGACCTCGATCGCGTCTCGTCTTCGTCGGCACCGATTTGTATCAGTCGTTTGATCACTGATTGGCAGGAAAGAAATAAGAGTAGTGAAAGTCATTGATATTTCTTGTGGAAATTAATCTATTTTATCAAGAAAATAGCTCTGATCATTGAATGAAAAAAAAGATGGACTGAGAAGTTGCCTACAAGAAGTTTCTGTTAAATGAAGATTTCTTTAAGTGATGCGGGACTAAAATATATGATAAAAGAAGGATTGATACCAAATGAGATAATCACAACAAATCGTCATCACTACTAACCACGATAAATTCGTCACACGCTGAAACTCAATAGTTACAATTCCTGTAGCATCATATCAGCGTGCGATACCATTTTAAATTAAACCTTCTACTTACAAATACTTGTCACCAATCTACACCATCACTAATCACCGCCACTCGTCGTCACCACCACTCGTCACCATCACCCGTCGTCATCACTCACCATCATAAATCGTCACCATCACTCCTCACCATAAATCGTCACCATCACTCCTCACCACCACTCCGCACCACCACTCGTCACCATCACTCCTCACCACCAATCGACACCACCACTCGTCACTATCACTCGTCACCACCAATCGACACCACCATTTGTCACCATCACTTGGCACCACCACTCGTCACCATCACTTGTCACCACCAATCGACACCACCACTCGTCACTATCACTCGTCACCACCAATCGACACCACCACTCGTCACTATCACTCGGCACCACTCGTCACCATCACTCGTCACCACCAATCGACACCACCACTCGTCATCATCACTCGTCACCACCAATCGACACCACCACTCGTCACTATCACTCGGCACCACACGTCACCATCACTCGTCACCATCACTCGGCACCACCACTTGTCACCACCAATCGACACCACCACTCGTCACCATCACTCGTCACCACCAATCGACACCACCACTCGTCACTATCACTCGGCACCACTCATCACCATCACTCGTCACCACCAATCGACACCACCACTCGTCACTATCACTCGTCACCACCAATCGACACCACCACTCGTCACTATCACTCGGCACCACTCGTCACCATCACTCGTCACCACCACTCGACACCACCACTCGTCACTATCACTCGTCACCACCAATCGACACCACCACTCGTCACTATCACTCGTCACCATCACTCGTCACCATCACTCGGCACCATCACTCGGCACCACCACTCGGCACCAAAACTCGTCACCATCACTCGTCATCATCACTCGTCAACATCACTGTCACTCAACACAATCATTCGATGCCACCCTTCTTCACGTCACTCTTACCATAACTCATCACCATAACTCGCCGCCACCACTTGTCACCATCAATTGTCACTATCACTCATCACCATCTCTCATCAACATAATTCGTTACCATCACTCTTCACCGTCACTCGTCACCATTCCTCGGCACTTCCACTCGTCATCTTCACTTGTCACTTCCACTCGTCACCATCACTCGTCACAATCACTTGATACCAGTACTATTCGCCATCACTGGTCACCATCACTTCCATTATCATAATCATAATTTACTGGTTACCACCGTCATCCCCATATATCCTTCCAATTACCACCAGACAAATTAATTCACACCTTGTGCATCGACTGCGTCTCCAAATCGGACTTCTTTCGCAACCTTATCAGCTAGTTTATTCTTGAGCTTCTTAAACTGTGACTCTTTGCCTGGTCGTGGTCCAAGGGCTAAAGAAACTTCCAAATCAGAGTGGTCGGGGATGTTGAGTACCGTCGTATTGAGTTCACCTGCATAATGACCAATATAAGGATAACCTTGAAACATTTATTGAGCTCTAGTAAGGAAAATAATATTCTAATCAAATTACAGCTTATTGTATGAATAGCCACCTTTCGTTTCTGTTAGATTTTCTTCATTACATGCACGATTATCAATAACTTAATCGAAAAGATAGTAGGTATTAGAATGAAGCGGTATGAAGAGGTGCCAAGTCTGCAGAAACTTAGTGCAGAGGATCACAGCCAGACAATGAACATTCTGAGAACAGTTATGTAGACAAGATGGGGTAGAAGAGATGAGTTCGTCAGGAAGAAGAAGAGGAGTGGACAAAGAAATATCCTCACATGAATACTACGTGATGCATTAAAAAGCTGCGTGGAAATGCAAGATTAGGACAAGGTGGTAAGACAGTGTCTTCAACTTTCATGACAAGGCACATGATGAGGAAAATAAAAATATTTTCGTCTGGTGCCAATTTCAAATTAAGTTAATATGTCTATGTAATGACAAAACATATATCATCTCATATAAAGCATAACTGTATTTCAGTTTGAAGAAACGTTCGCATCCTTACCAAAGTTAACAGCATTTCCTTGGAGGTATACTTCTTCCTCGAGTTGTTGCAAGTCGATTGGTCCCGTTGATAGGTCGATTCCAACGACATTTAGGACGATGTCCCTGTTACGGTGGTCGTTTGGCAGTTTGACCTTATGCGGGAGCTGGTAGTTACGTACTAACTCGGTGAGTTGCATTCGTTTTAATTTCCTGACTGAAATCATGATGGAAAAGTGAAAAGAAAAATACATGAAGATTATTAAAAGTATATATCCTGACAATCTGGAGGGCAGTATCTTAGATATGTTCGTAAATTGTAATTGGTCAGTTGTCATTGTACATGTTGTTTTTAACATAATATTTAAATCTGCGGGATTCGACAGATGAGAAGGAAGAAGCAAATTTATTTTCAAAGTATATTCATTTTACATATGTGACACTTCGTCACTTATATTTGATCATTTGATTGGCCCAGATTTGTTCTTTGATGTCACGTCGAAGTCCCAGGGAAACGACAAATGTATTCCGTCTAGCTTGTCTGTCGACCTTTCTTTTTATCACTATATCCATTCATTCATCTATGTATCTATATCTCTCTGTATCTGTCTATCTATCTATTTATCTATCTACCTATCTATCAAACTATCTGTATTCATATTTGTATCTTTCCATCTATCCAGCTATATATATACAATTGTATCTTTGTATGTAGGTATCTATTTGTATATCCATCTACTTGTCTATCTACTTATCTGTCCATCTACTTGCCTATCTACTTATCTGTCCATCTACTTGCCTATCTACTTATCTGTCCATCTACTTGCCTATCTACTTATCTGTCCATCTACTTGCCTATCTACTTATCTGTCCATCTACTTGTCTATCTACTTATCTGTCCATCTACTTGTCTATCTACTTATCTGTCCATCTACTTGCCTATCTACTTATCTGTCCATCTACTTGTCCATCTACTTATCTGTCCATCTAATTGTCTATCTACGTATCTGTCCATCTACTTATCTATCCATCTACTTGTATATCCATCTACTTGTCTATCTACTTATATATCCATCTACTTGTATATCCATCTACTTGTCTATCTACTTATATATCCATCTACTTGCCTATCTACTTATCTGTCCATCTAATTGTCTATCTACGTATCTGTCCATCTACTTATCTATCCATCTACTTGTATATCCATCTACTTGTCTATCTACTTATATATCCATCTACTTGTATATCCATCTACTTGTCTATCTACTTATATATCCATCTACTTGCCTATCTACTTATCTGTCCATCTAATTGTCTATCTACGTATCTGTCCATCTACTTATCTATCCATCTACTTGTATATCCATCTACTTGTCTATCTACTTATCTATCCATCTCTACTTCGTAACTTACATGTTCTCCTGATGGACCCAGATTTGTTTTTTGGCATCACTTCAAAATCCAAAGGGAATGATAAGGGTATGCTGATCAGCCTGTCTTTAGCATCTTTGGCGACGACACGGTTCTGTGTGTGAATACGCGCTATCCTAATCACCTGTTTAAAGAAACCAAAGAAGACAAAACAATAATGAGGAATATGTAATATACGATAATGATATGATATATGCTGATGTTATGCTGATTAACATATATCAAAGAGGCAATGATGATATATATAGTACATTTCCAGGAAAGTTATTCCTGATGAAAACAAATAGCAGTGTGATTTCTAATCATCAATCTAGTTGAGCCAAGTGAGCGTTCAATATTTTGAAAATTAATTAAAGATTTTTCTACTCTGTTAAGCCGTTAAAGCCCCAGATAACTTTGGAAAGTGATATGTACCTTTAAAAACCAAACTAGTTGGTCTGGAGAATGATAACATTTCGACAGTCGACCGTGCATATTTTCTTTTTTGTGCATATTATATATTTGATAAAATTCAAACCATCAGGAACTGTGCACACAGAAAATCGGAAAAGGAAAGAAAGGTGAATGTGAAAGGAAGAAAGAAAGACAGGCAGAAATACAGACAGATGGAGTGTTAGTCGGGGAGACATATCGGCGAGAAAGATGGATAGAAAGAGATAAAGATCTAGGCCTAGGAGGGGGGAGTGGAGTCACTGGAGTGTACATTTCATTTGTCAGATTTCTTTTCAACACGAAGACATTTGCTCCTGTCGATGGCTGTTCTAAATCAGTTTCTATAGATGAATAGAAGTACATTTGAAAAGGACATTGTATTTGAATCTTGAATCTGTTCCCGCTGTGTCAGTGATCTACATGAACCAAAACGAAGAGGAGTGGGGTGGAGATAGACATAAATACATGTGAAATTTGGGCACGTAATTTTTTTTCAAGGATTAGATCTTTATCACCTATTCATTTTGGCATATTGTCATTCACTGGTAAACAGGTTAATGTATCTTTAAACAATAAAAGTGATTAATAAGAGGGTGCATGTAACCTCGTTTTCCCTTTCTTCTACAATGTTGACTAACAATGATCCATTCTAAGCAATATCGTATCCACAGCGTACCTCGTTAAAGTTCACCCATCTCCACAAATTGACATGTATATGAAATTGGAAACGAAACACTTCATAAATCAAGATGGCTTGAAAAGACTACCAAACTTCGATTCAGATGTCAATTATTACAATTTACTATGAAACATGAATAATTTCATAAAGTCCACAAGTTAATCGAAACGATCCACCATTTACCCAGGGAACGCTAAACGTATTAGAGACGTAGTTGGAACGTCTTCACACAGGTCCACACAGCGTTTTGCAAACGTTTTAAGCGCGTTGTGTCCTTCCAGGGTAACAACCATCATAAAGGCTTTAGATGTTTCGACCAGGGCCCCGTCTTACAAAGAGTTACGATTGATCCAAATCAATCGTAAGTCCTCCAATCAATCGTAAGTTTGCAGTCTCCTATCTCTTATGTACATAGTTACGATTGATATCAATCGCAAATAAGTTACGATTGATATCAACTCTTTGTAAGACGGGGCCCAGGAGTCTTCAAATCATGGTTCATAAAAGTATATAAGATGATAACATATTAACGGACAGGTCTGGAGTACTCGGTAACCGGGAGGGTACAAAAATCTATATTTTGTTGCGTTTTTTTTCTTCTTCATTTTAAGGGGAGGAGAGAGAGAGAGAGAAGCCTATATTTTGTTTTTATTTGTTATACTCTTATCCACATTGTATATTTTAAAAAGAGAGAAAAAGAGAAAGAAAGAAATTAATATTAAAAAGAAAGGCGTTGGTGATTATTTCAGTTTTTGATTGATTGCCATTACAACAACAACAACAACAACAAAACAATCATACCAACCTGTCCCTGGCTAAGTGAATCTTCTTCCCTAAGCGAACAGTGTCCTTGTCTCACCATGGCAATGATGGGCATCTTAAGGTACGACATCAACTCCCTCATGTTATACGTCTCCGGCGACCACGACACCGATCGTGCGATGTCCATGACGACGTCGAATGATCAAATCGAGAATACCTCGCGTTTTAAAAGGGCGTTGCTCAAGCCACTTGAGATAATAATTGGGCAAGAGCCTTTTTTCACTGGAAATTCTGAGCCCACCCAGAAATGGATGTTTGATTCTACAGACAATACTCGTTTACAATCTATTAATCAGTGTTTGACAGTTTGTAATCACTTTACTACTGTCTGTTACATTATTCAATGTGCCTTTTATCGCGTAAGAGTCCAGTGTGAAGTACATGCGAAACGCAAAAGACGCAAACACGACTTCATTCTTGGTGTTGCTTTTCCAATTCCAGTATTGATCTGTGAAAGAAGCGAAAAATGAAGAAAATGTCAATATTCTGTAACGAACGAATATAATTAATTATGTATAGCTTTAGAAAAATAAATCACGATTTTGTTTGAGATACACGATTGTTTTCTTTTCATATACAATAAACTAAGTTTAACTTAGGCCTTCTAGTAAGAATAATTCTTGGAGTAACCCCAAATAAGAACTATAGGCCTATCAAATTCTTTTGAACTTTACTGTATCACTGGGCTATATCAACATAATATTCTTATCTAAAGTGTAACAATCTCGAGGCCCCCTTCAGTTTAATGTTAAAAAGTCTATATAATTTGTGGAAGTCCTTCTCAGGGGCCAGTGTGACCTTCCTAAACACAAATCCTAACTATTAAATATAGGCTTTGACCGATATGCTTTCATCTACCCTTCCATAATTGTTCGGGATTTCGTCGTTTATTCACTCTTTGATTTGTCAAAATCGACCCATCATATTTGTTCACTTCCTGTAAGAATGTCGGAATAATCCAACAAAATTCCATTCATTATTCTCCTGCGCCCACAGCACAAAGTACCCAATTGATCTCAATGGCAAATATTCATACTGAAATATGTATTAAAACTATTTAATCTGTGTTTTTTTTTCTTTTCTTTGCAGCATTCATCCTCTGTTAAATACTCTAAACAGTGTATGTACATTTGATAGAGGGCAGAGGTCATCCAACTATAGAAATGTGAATTTTTAGGGTGTGTGCCTTGTGTCTTGTTTGTGTGAAAGGATACCGCAGTCGGGTATACAAATTTGTCTCTGTGCATGTGGAACTATGAATATTTAATAACGGCATAACTTAGTCATCGGAGCGTTTCGTAGTTCTATTGACACGGGAATTGAAGAAAAAATAGTGAATAGGTGAATTCAATAAAGTTTTGAAAAGAATATGAGGGTTCACTGCTGTGGAGGTGTAATACTTGGGGCGATTCTGGGTAACATGCCAATGCAGTGGTTTTGCAATGTAAATTGCATTGCTTTGCAACGCTGATTTTGTGATTTTTATAGGAAGTCTACATAAGAGATTATTTTTCGGCAAATGTATTACTTTTTTTTCTTCTTTCAACTAGAGTACAACAGGAGATAATCTAAATACCTCATGGTAGTGAAAGACGATTTTCAACACTTGCTGTAAATGAAGAAATCCACTTTAAGCTTTAAACGTGAGACATATAACAGGTGTGGTCAGAATTCCGTGCATGTATTTTCTTTTTCAGACTCGCCAGAAACAATACACGATAAGATCTGTCATTACGATCTGATAATATAATGTTTACCTGAGTCTATGCAGTCTATAGGTAGCATATGTAGTCTATGTAGAATATAAGTCCAATGTAAAACCTTATCTATTCCTATAAGTCTAATGTAAAACTATAAGTCGAATTAATATCAGGCGCAAGATTCCACTTTAAAAAATTCTTTCTCGCTAGTAGAATGTGATACAAAATCTTAAAGTGAATTTTTTTCAGCTTATCATCATTAATGTTAATTAAATTTCTTTTAAAACAATTTGGCCAATTGATATCTTTATCTAAGAGCTTTTCCCCCAAATAGACGACATCTAGCAACCCTATCATCTACATGTAGGCGTAGCATGGCATAGCATTGTTTACTAGTTAACTCATACAGTTTTTTTTATTCTACCTCTATTAAGAATTCTTTGAATTTGTAAATTTGTTCTTTTCAATAGAGATTTATTGCCTTTGGTATGCAAATGTTTTGGAATCGCTTTTTAAAGTTTTGCAAGGTCAAACAATACATTGCTATTCCTCTGCTTCAATCAATTCATACCCAATTTGAGCACTACTTCTAAAGGTACCGTTTCTAAAAATGGCGTTTACATACACAATGCCGCCACTTTGATACCAGTTCTTAAAGAACACCAATTTCTTTCTGAAAATAAAGTTCGGATTAAACCATAATATTTCCGATTAGGCATTTTAGACTTTATTGCCTTTTACCTTATACCATGCTAGTAAGATTGCACAATAAAAACATTGGCAATCTTGATACACAATAATGTAATATATAAATACAAATCTTTAAAAACCGTCTTAAAGCCTGTCTAAAAAGAAGGCCTTCACAAACAAATTATGTATCACCATATTAATAGTGATTCGAATATTCATAAAAACATAAATTTACATCGTTACTTTCGTCCAAGTAAATACTGAGAAACTGATATAAAGCATTTCTCAAAAAGTTATTTAAATGAAGTTCTAAAAGAATGATATAGCGAAAAATTACTTGAACACGATTCATACTATCACCATTATGTGATCTACAATTTGGTAAATAAATGAGTGTAGGATTGCTTTTTGACGCTGAATTTCCATTCACTGAGTTGCTTGCAACCATATACAGTCACAATGTTCATGACATTATTTGTTTATCTAAATAAAACATCAAAATTGTGTGAATTGTATTAGTAAATTCGGGGCATTGTCAACGAGAAACGTTCAATTATGAGCCGAATATTTAAAATTCCTCTTCATTGTATTGCACTCAGAATAGTGCAACAATAAGAACAAAAATACCTTATAACAAATATATGAAATCATCGACCATTCAACTTTATGTATTTACCTTATGGAATAAGCGGAGGTTTAACTGAAATACTTTACAGCGACTTGTAACTTGTGTTCCTGGTTTTTTAAATTAAAAAAGGACATCATTTTCAGTTTGAGGTCCTGGCTCAGACAGACACATTGGTGTTTTTGTTTGTTCGTTGGTCTGGTTTTTTGTTTGATTGTTTGTTTGGGTGTTGATGTTTTTCTTTCTTTTTTTCTTGGGGGGGGGGGGGGTTACTTTAATAAATGTACATGTACTTGCATGAAGAAGTTCCGAAATACTACAAACTAATACCCCAGTTTATGGCTGTCAACGTAGTCTAAGAACATATGTCCGTTTGCTTCATTTGCTCACGACATTGCATGCCAATACATTATGACCAGAATCATTATCCACCGACAAAAAAAAAATTAAAAGATTATTCATGAATACAAATGATAAAAAGTGGGGGATATAGGCCTAGCAATGCTTTTTGCAGTAATAAATGTTATATATCAGGGACTTTGGGGCGAGAAATGGAGAGTTAATATTCAGGTATGAGTGCACAGCCCCCTGGGTGAAACTCTACCCCTATACGACCATGTGAGCACCATGAAGTTGACAAACAATAATTATGACTGTATCAGTCAAATCACACGTTGAGCACGTTTGATAATAATTCAAAAAGAGTATAGTAAGCATATACATGCAAACACTATTCGTGGTCAGGACCTGGGTGTGGTCCCATTTATGATACATAAGGATTGGAATATGTTATTGTTCCAGTCACAAAATATTATAAAAACACATTTGATCCATATCCTGTTCTTTGATTTCGTACATTCATATTGATAAAATAAATTTCAGGAAATGTGCTCAGTGAAATATTTTCGAAAAGATGAAATAATTGATATATATAATATATGTACATTTCAGAATTCTATAATTATGTAGATGTCAATAGTCTGTAACTGAAGAAATGTTGGTTAATTTCCCAAATCGAGGTTTTTGTGTTAGACCAAGCTGCATCAAATAAGCAACAGTTAAGGCACTATTCTGTTCTTTCATGGTTACACAATTTAATTATAATTCACAACTTTAGAACAGCGTTGATCATCAATATACAACATGTGATAAAAAGGTGGGTTAATTGAATGATATCAAATTTATTGAAATGGGATAACTAAAACCAGTGCAGAAACAGAGCAAAGAAGCCAATGTCAAATTTGGGTGAAAACACCAACGGGTCTATAAATGACAACATTAGAGAAAGCTAAATACTCACATCAAATCTAATAAATGAATAGGATCGTTTGAACGGGTGGTTATCATCAACTGTTGTTATATATCATATTAACATCACTGTCAAATGCGTTGAAAGCTTAGATTTATTATCCACTTAATTTAATTTATAGAATCCGCAATCAAGAAAAATTGCACTTTGGAGTCAGCTAAAATGGTTTTCCTCAGTTAGTTGTGTTCGCCCATCCATAGAAACATTACATTTACAATTTTATTCGCATGCACCTATGATTGATCTTCTCATATTCCTGTTTTGCAGAATTTTATGTTGATATCCACTCTTCTATTGAACCACGTTGGTTATGGGTACGGGACGCATAGGCAGGCAATCAAGGACACATGAAATTGGCCACCAACAAATCAATAAAATGGCGAAGCCAGCGATTTCTTTCCACCTCTTCATGATTAAAATTTAATCATGAATTGGGGAAGAGTTAACTGACGACTTGTGCTTTTGTCTTTGTGGTCAGGAAGAATAAAAGGACTTGTTTATCTAAAGTTTCCATAGAGATATTGAAAAATAATTCCATCAAAATCAAATCATTAGAGTCTCATACGATTTTTTAAACATCATTCATGTAGTGATGACATGGAGAGAAAAAAAAGCATTGCAAATCATGATTTACTTTGTCCCTTTTTAAATACTAAATTTTGACACATATTTTTTAACATAAAGGACAATCCTTTTTCTTACATTCGATACAAATTATAAACGGTTTGTCTCATGGCTTAAATACGTTCAAGACGAAATCATAACGTTAGAAAGTATATTCCTTTTAAACTAGGCCTAAATAATAAGTGATGCTAGATGAAAGTATCCCTTCCGACGGAAATCAACGAAACATGCAAGTCAAACCATTATCATACTTACTATTATTGCCACTAATATGGGTATCAGTATCATCATCATTATCTTCATCACAATCAACATAATCAACTTGATCATCAACATCATTTATCAATGAATATGTTAATAGTTTAGTATAAGTCGTATTAATGGTAGTAGCAGTAATAAAGTTAGTGTAGTATTAATATCAGCTGATTAATAGTAATATAAGTCGTCGGCGTCGTCGTAGTAGTAGTAGTATTAGTAGAAGTAGTAGTAGTAGTAGTAGTAGTAGTAGTAGTAGTAGAAGTGGTAGTAGTAGTAGTAGTAGTAGTAGTAGTAGTAGTAGAAGTAGTAGTAGTAGTAGTAGTAGTAGAAGTAGTAGTAGTACTAGTAGTAGTAGTAGTAGTAGTAGTAGTAGTAGTAGTAGTAGTAGTAGAAGTAGTAGTAGTAGTAGTAGTTGTAGTAGTTGTTGTAGTAGTTGTAGTAGTAGTAGTAGTAGTAGTAGTAGTAGTAGTAGTAGTAGTAGTAGTAGTAGTTGTATAGTAGAAGTAGTTGTAGTAGAAGTAGTAAAAGTAGTAGTAGTAGTAGTAGTAGTAGCAGTAGTAGTAGTAGTAGTAGTAGTAGTAGTAGTAGTAGAGTATAATAGAAGTAGTTGTAGTAGAAGTAGTAAAAGTAGTAGTAGAGTAGTAGTAGTAGTAGTAGTAGTAGTAGTAGTAGTAGCAGTGATGTATGTACAATGTAGTACTAGGTGAAGTAGAATATACTAGAAGTAGGAGACGTAGTACTTAGAAGTAGTTTATAGTCAAACAAATCTCAAACTCAGACGGCATTACGAGTGCAACATGTTACCAAATGCTTAAATATAATAACGAATTGATCTTCTGTGACTTACCAAAGAAGAAACTCTTGCACTGTACTATCAATGACAATAATTATTGGCAAATGCCTCCTATCGTGCCATATCTCCCACATACGCACCCACGTCATATCTCGAAATATGGTGATTCATACGAGTATACATTCATATCGTGGCTTTACTGCTTTACATCAAACGCTATAAGTCGCTTCATCATGCATTTAGTCGTTGTCAAAAAAGGCCCCTTATTCATGTTCACCCAGCCCTTTTCTATTATTCTCGTTCACCACGTACGAGCACTTGTCGCTGCGGTGCTATATAATATATTCGCATTCAAAGTATGGTGTTTACACTGACTTTGCTACATTGTTAAATACTCGTTGTTTCGAATAAAAACATACCTGATAATTCTCCCAGAGTCTCTCAGTCTCTTGTGTCATTTCTCCATCTCTAAAAAGGCAGAAATTCACACATCAGTTTAATTATAGAAGAATCGAGATTGTGGTATATAGTTTTTAGGCATATATTACAAGCGTGGAATAAGATTAGCCTGCTTCCGTGGTAGAACAAAAAGTAACTTGGACGACTCCATTTATTTTTCGGTGTGTAAACGGTCTCCTTGTTGAGGTGCACTCATGAAATAAAATTCAAAACTAATTTGTTGCTCTTTCAAGTGTTAATGAACTGTAATTAGTAAAAACATCATGAAGGATTTGATTCGAATCTTACGGCCAAGGGGATCAGAGAAATCCTCCCAATGTCCCGTTTCCATGTGATTTGTTTTTTAGCCCGTCCCTCCGCCCAGCTCTGGATGTTTGAATGGAGTATTAGGTTTGCTGGGGGGGGCAAGGTCATTTTGACCCCCACCCCGCTCTACACATTGTTGGCAGGATTAACCGCAACTGATCTCTCCTTCTTTTCTCCCTTTTTTTTTCTCCTTCCTCTTTTTTTGTTCCCTTTTAGCTCTCCTCTTTTCCTTTTCATTCCTTCTCTCTTTTTTAGTGGGGACGGGGGGGGGGGGGAGCAAGGGCCTTTTGCCCCCTCCCCCCCCCCCCCCGATCCACAACTTGTTGGCGGGAAAATTGCAACTGATATCCCCCTTCTTTTCTTTTCTTCTTCCTCTTTTTTTCTTCCCTTTATCTCCTCTTTTCCTTTTTTCTTTCCCTTTCCTTCCTTCTCTTTTATTTTTTGATTGGGGGGGGAAGTCCTCCTCCCTCCCCCCGATCTCCTTCTTCCCTCTTTTCTTTTCTTCTTCCTCTTCTTTTTTCCCTTTCTCTTCTCTATCCCTTTCCCTTCTTTTCCTTCTCTCTCTCTCCTTTTTTTCTTCTTTTTGGCGGGGGGGGGGGGGGAAGGGGCCAAGGCCCGCTCGGCCCTCCCTGGATAAGCGCCTGGTAACACCTACCTTTTAACTTTGTTTAACAGTGTAGAGGCCTGTATTTGAAATCAGTATCCTTTAATATGATTGTTGATTATTACTCAGTATACTTTTGAGTAATTTATTTGTTTGATAATGATTCATTTGAAGGACTTCTTCCTTTGGGTATGTTAATGATGTTCAATGTTTTCTGTAAGATAATTTGTTTGTGTAAATATATATAACAGTGTTTCAAGAACGAAACAGTGCATACGAGCAGGGGCGTCTCCAAAGAGGGGGTGTGGGGTGCGACACCCCCCCCCCCCCACCTGTCAGGATATTGTCGGTAAAATTGCGCTGCCGTCGGGAAAAAAAGAGATAAGGGGGAGGGGAAGAAAGAGAGGGAAAGAAAAGAAAAGAAAAAAAGAAAAGGAAAAGAAAGGAAAGAAAGGAAAAGAGGGAGGAGGGGAAAGAAAGGAAAAGAAAGAAAAGAAAGAAAAGGAAAAAGGAAGAAGAAAACAAAAAGAGAAAAGGGAAACAAGGGGAGGTAAGAGCCTGATAGAGGAGGGGTGGGAGTAAACGAGAGAGGGGGTTGTTGGGTGGAGTTGTCTCGTCGAGGGAGCAAGAAAGACACGCGGGGGTTGGGCCGGACCACGAGAGTGCAACCAAGTTAAACTGCGGTAGTGCATGCCTACATGTAGGCTTTACCACCAGCGCACTTTTACGAGTATTACGGCGAAACTGGCCAGGCTAGCGTGTAAAAAAAAATATTCGCTGTCCGGAGAGGGGTGAGAGGTGGGGGGGGGGGGCACTTCAGAATTGTGATTCGTTTGAGACTTTGGGGGATAGGGGGCTTGAACACTTTCGGACCTTGACGATTTTCGCGTCATGTATCGTACAAAGAGATAGTTCAATCCAAATATGAATCAAACATTTATTGTCTTTTTTGTTGGGGTGAGGGTGTTGGTGATGGGTAAGGAGGTCTTATAAAGTCTTTTTAGTGCAACACAATAAAAGTTAAAAAATGCCGTGAGAAATTTGTCTTCGTTTTTATTTTGGGGTGGGATATCTAGCCATCGTAGCAACAAGGGGGCCTGATATAATGATAAACACAGAACAAACACATGAAAAATACGGAATGTAAACATAAATTTGAATGCAGGTTCAATAAAAAATAAACATTGATTAATTAATTCGAGACATGGTAAATTCAAAGCAAACACAGAAAATAAATGTAATAGTTGTTCGAGTCGATAATATACATGCTCAAAGGTTCACACACGAAATATAGATAATCAATTAATTTAAATAACCAAACCATAATAAAAAGAAAGAAAATACAATAACGGGAACACATAGAACGAAAATTAAGGCTGATGTAAGTTGTCATGAAACAAGATAGATAATTACAGAACAAACACATCATAATGTACATATCACCTGTCAATTCATCATACACATTGAGAACAGGAATATATTGGTTTTTGTTTTTTTGTTTTTGTGAAAAAGCATTATATATTGTCATCCTATGCTCACTGTCTCCCACGAGTTTGAAATAGTGTCTTATTGTCGGGGTCATCTCGTAGGAGAGGTTGGTAATCATAATATTATTGTCTTACTGTCACGTTCTAAATCTGTCTTTTTTTCTTTGTTCCTGGTCGAGGTGGTTTCCTTGTAAAATATATCGTCTTGTCACCAAAGATTGACTATCAGTTGAGGGGGGGGGGGGGATATTTCACACAAGGGGGGCAAATTACGATAGGATTACGTGTGTGTTATGTTTCCCTTTTTTGTCACCACTGGAGCGGGGGAAATATATTAGCTAGATTATGGGGATGTTTTTATATAATTATCAAAGCTAAAAGAAAATATAGGCCTACTTTTAAAAAGACATAATATAGGGGACACCACCGTTTGCTTAATGCCTTACGATCGCAAAATCGTTCCTTATTTGACTTAAAATCTTGAAATTATTACTTCTTTACATAATTTATGAGGAGGAAAAAAAAATCGTGCAATATTGTATATTTACGAAAAGTTTGAATATTGTATATAATCTATCTCCCTACAACCAGGGGCGTCCCCAAATGGGGTGTAGGGGTGCGACACCCCCGCCTGTCAGGATATTGTCCGGAAAAGGAGAGGGAAAGGGAAAGAAAGGAAAAGGAAAAGAAGGGAAAGAAATGAAAGAGAAGAGGAGAAAGAAAGAGAAAAGAGGAAGGATAGGAAAGAAAGGAAGAAAGAAAAGGAAGAAAAGGAGCAAAAGAAAAGAAAAAAGAGAAAAAGAAAACGAAAGAAACAGGGGATGAAAGAGAGAGAGAGAGAGAGAGAGAGAAGGGGGTAAGAGCCTGAGAGAAAGGGGGTGAGTAAGAAAGAGGGAGTATGTTTGGTGGAGTCGCCACGTCGAGGGAGCAAGAAAGATACGCATAATATTATGTCTGGCTACACCATTATCTCGGGCACATGTATAGCGGTAAGCGGGCACATCTACAGGGATGTGATTGTTTGACAACGTAAAACACGTAGAATCCAAAGAAAATCCATGAAAAGAAGATAAATTGATATTTATGAAACTCATTTGTATCTTAGGAGCTTTATTATATCCATGACATGACGGAAATTCAATATACAACACTAGTTGTATGCCTCACTATATTTCCCCTATCTCGGGCACATGTAGCGGTACGCGGGCACATCTACAGGGAGGTGGTTGTTTTGACAACGTAAAACACGTATAACCCAAAGAAAATCCATGAAAAGAAGATAAATTGATAGTTGGTAAGTCATTTGTATAATTATAAGGGAACTTTTTACATCCTTTATTACAGTCATGTCGGAAATTCAATTTACAACGGTAGTTGTATGCCTATTTTCTACACTCCCCCTATATATCGGGCACATAGCGGTAGGCGGGCACATCTACAGGAAGGTGGTTGTTTGACAAGGTAAAACGCGTAGAATCCAAAGAAAATCCATGAAAAGAAGATAAATTGATATTTGTGAAACTCAATTGTATCTTAGGAAGCTTTATTATATCCATGACATGACGGAAATTCAATATACAACACTAGTTGTATGCCTCACTACATATATCCCCTATCTCGGGCACATGTAGCGGTAGGCGGGCACATCTACAGGGAGGTGATGTATTGACAACGTTAAACACGTATATCTCAAAGAAAATCAATGCAAAGATGTTGAACTGATAGTTGTAAACTCATATATAAGGGAGCTTTAATGTTACATCCGTTATCTCTCGGATATTGCATATAGAATACTATTTTATAACTCGATCCCTATCTCTATCGGGCACATGTAGAGGTAGGCGGGCACATCACCTCGAGGTGGTTTAGCCGACGACCGGTCGAGTTGGTCACGTATTCTTTGGAGTTAAAAAACGACCAAAAGAATCGCCAATTTTGTATAAACACGCTATCAAAATCCATACTAAATAAATTTACTTAACACTCAAACACTTCTACCTCATAATCACGGACAATACAACTGTATAATAGTAAGATTTTGCCCTGATTTGGCTGAACCACTGTGTTGCACGTATTACCTTCATGCATTACAGTCATGACCCCAATTCTGCTCGTACGTACGTACGCGCGCAGTCAAGAACATCAATATTCATGATTTGACACGACGTCACTGATATGCATATTCATTGACCTCCTTGTATGTGCCCGATTAGAGCTACCGGTCATGCACGATAAAGCCTTCTTGATTGCTTATTTACCTGACGAAATTGACGAGTTGTGAGTTTTATTTTCACTCATTTCAAATGTAATGTATTGTGTGCATATCATGTTATATTTCGCGACATGTGCGAATGTTTTGTTGAAAATTATGTTGTTGGTATAGACTATGCCAATTGGTGATGTGATCATCGGCATGGTATCCAGATGTTGGGGGCAGTCCCACTCATGTGTGTTCATGTGGTGTCAAGATTTACAATCTGTTATTTTTCAATTTTGTGTATCGATTGCTCGCTGATAAGCATTATTCATATTAGTATTTGATACTTCTGTTTCTGGTGTGCTGATAAGCTTCAGTGGTGAAATAGATTCGAATTATACCCTGGCTTTATTTTTGGCCTATTCAAATAAACATGTAGAGTAGTGGCTCTGGTCTGCGGCCGATCGGCGGGAACTGCCGATTCTATTTTTATTGGAATACTCACAGAATACTTCAATACCCTCAATAAAGAGTCCATATACTTACTTATTAAATAGAAGTCACAAATAACCAAACTGACCCACAGCGTGGTCAGCATTGACCATGTTTCGAAATGCTTCGAGTTCCCCGGTTTGCGGGCACGCAGTACCGGTTTGCGGCACGCGTACGTCACAAAGCTTTATGCGCTACGTCACGATGAAAGCATGTACCAAATTACTACGGGTAACCCAAATTCTCATGTTTATCTGTTGCTACGGTAAATTTGTGAAGTTTTAAACAATTTCACCTTTTCCTCGAATGGATCATCCCATACGGGGGTACGTACTACTAGAAACTATCGGGTCATAGGGGGTACACACATCAGCACACATACCATCATACACAATCCCGCATGTTATGTGTGTATTAACACCCCCTGCCGCAAACCAGAAAAACACGTAATTACGTGCCGGTTTGCGGTCACCCCATGCAACTAGCCATGCGGTGGCACAATCAAAATATCTGCGATAGGAGACAGACCACAGCCATCATACTTCCACAAAAACATCAAATTTCACCTCCAATCGGACAAATATCGGACAAATAGAGCTACAATATTGATCTAGTCATGCCTCGATCTCTTAACTTAAAAGTTAGCACCTGCTGGAATTTTCATCGGCGACTGGTGCCGTAGATTTCCGACATCGCTGACGGATACTCCGTACCGATAGGAGCACCTGCTACGGACATTTTCGGCAAAGCAGAACTTACCGTGGAATCCACGGTAGGTTTCAATGATTATTATCGAGTCATATTCATTTTATTTTTGAAACAAATACCCCTGGCCGCAAACCGGGCGATGCCGCAAATCGGAGACTCTACTCTAAACATAGATCTATGACCATTGAGCAGCTGTTCAAGATTACGCCTTCTCAGAGACAGAATGAAAAACCAGACCTCAAAATCTATGAACAAGCACTCAAGGTGTAAGATGTATCGTTTAAATTTAATCACATTTCTTTCTATTTATCTCAAAAATGACAGAAATGGCTGAAGTAGCCAAGTCCACACCCCACCCCTCTACAGGAGGGGGGAAGAAGATCAAGGAGGGTGTAGCGAGCCAAGATGGAGGTGATGCAGGGGGAGAAGGAGGCGAGAAGAAGCTGTCTAAGAAGGAAAGAAAGATGCTGAAACAGAAGCAGCTTGCTGAGCAGCAGAAGGAGAAAGAATCAGCTCAGGTCCAAGCTCCACCAAAAAGCAAGGCAGAAATGAAAGCAGAGAGGAGGGCAAGACAGGTAAGTTGTTGAAGCAAGATATTGTTAAGTATGGTCTGTGATATCTTGTAGTGTAAAATGTACTTTATTAAAAAGATCATGTTACATGAAGGGCAGAGTTATTTCTTAATTTTCCAGAGCTAAATTTGATACTTACCACTCCTTCTTTTTTTTTTACTGAAAACGTTTTACATTCATGCCCAATATCTCGTGATATTTTTTTTCTCCTCCTTTTCACATTAGCCTTTCAATTGATGACTCATTCTTATTGTTCTGTTTGTTAATATCAACATTTGTGTATGTTTATGTGTGTTGTTTTCCATCTTCTCTCTTCTCCTAAGCTATTCCTTTTCATCTGTACTCTGTAGAATTTTTGAAAACAAAATTAACCAGAACTACTTGCAGCAGTTTTGTATATCTATCAAACTCATGGGGTGGTTATTAGTTATGTTCACATCCTAGCCTAAAAATAGGGCATTTAATAAAATTCTTCATTTCATTTGAAGTTCCTTTGTCATCATCACCCAAACTCAGGATTCCTTTTTATTTCTCTGTCATGTTAAATTTGTTCTTCTGCGTACTTTCAGGAGACAGAGAGAGCCGCCAAACTGGCCAAGAAGTCTGGAGAACCTATCCCTCCAGGAGTGGGAGCAGCAGGAGCAGGAGCTGGAGCGGGAGGCGGAGGGGGGAGTAGTTCACTTCCTAGTAGTGGATCCAGTGGTCAGCTACAAAGTAAAGCTAGTAAACAGACAGGAGAAAGTGAGTCAGATGAACTTTTTCAAATTAATTTCATTGACCAGCACATTCATAAGTTGTGTTGTATCAGTGTTTATGATATGTTTCCCATTTCTTCAATTAGAATGGAGGTAACTAAGGGAGTGCTTCATCAATTAGGATCAATTTTGTTTTAATAGATTTGTTGTATCATAAATGAGTTGGTTCAGTTTTAAAGACCATTTTTTGTAAAGGCTTACAGTTTATGAAACACCCTCTAAAAGAAGTAGAATAGGTAAAGGCCACTGATCCTTACTGACTTATATTTGTTTATTTTCAACCACATTTTCTTTTTACGTTAGTTATTTGAACCCTTGCACCTTCCCTCTCACAATTACTGCAATGTAATATTTGTATGCTATTTACAGTGTACTTTCATTTCAATTCATACACAAACATTTAATCAGTGTTGGTAAATTCATGTTTCTCTTCAGCTTATCTCAAGAAAGATATTTACAGAGTCTCGGATGATATCAAACTAGATGACCCTACTGTGCAGAAACGAAGAGCAAAGAAACTTGAACGGCAACAGGTAACTTCATACCTTAGCTATGTAAAAAGTGCAATAACAAATAACTTGAATGTAATGCTCAAATTACTTCATCAATTGATGATCTGACTCAGTTGCATCTGCTTGAACAAGACAACTTTACCAAGAAATCTTCGTAAAAATACAGAAATTTAATTATTCTTGTTTCAATCAAATTATATCCCAGACACTTATTTTGCTTTCTTACCTATGCATTTATTTTGATTCATGACATCATAGGAAAAATAGACAAATATGATTTAATTGTGATTGGATCTGCTGTCTATTGATGATGTCGAAATGAAGAAGCATGTCAGAACCATATTGGTCTAACCTTGGACCAGCTAAGAGTTAGTGCTGGTCTAGTTCCATCTAAGAAATATTATATATCAGGGGTGCATTTAGGGTGATTTCAGGCCCTGAATTCTCTTCATCACAGCTTTTTGGGGCGACATATAAATGGGACTTATGCCAGCTTATCAGAGTGTCTTTGCAGGCTTACTGAGTGAAACCAACTGGTATCCCTGTATTAACCTTTAAAGGTAAAGACCAGTTCTGGTCTTGCGATTGCATTGTGAAAGAAACGTTGTGGAATCGATCAGAAAAGGTTTATCATCTAGCATATAAGTATTGGTGTGTACTGCAAGGTTCTGAAATCATCAAAATGATAATAAATTTGGCCCAGTCTTTGTACCATCACATATTAGTCAAAACATATTCTTCCACATGATGGGTAGTAGGAGCTTCCATTTCATTTTTTGAGAGGGGGGAGTTGCCAAAACTGGTCTATACCTTTAAGACTTGTATTAAATCCAGGTACCACAGAGGGCCGAGAGTCAGAAGAAAGTGGGTCTCTTCTCTCATCTGAACCAGTTTGAGCGACAGGTCTCGCTGACGAGCCGTCTTGGCTTTGGCTCTGGTGGGATCCATCCGGCTGTTATCAAGCTAGGTCTGCAGTACGCTGAGGGTATCATATCAGGAGCTAACTCCAGGTCGGTTACTCTGCTCTTCTTCAATCGGTCATTTCCGCTTCAGGAATCATGATCGTAAAGAATGCATAGGCAAAAGTTTCTTTTGAGACATGCTCCTGAAAATGTTCCACTTTAAATTGAATAAACACAATTTGTGAGACACTCATTTAATAAGTTGTATCACTGAACAGAAAGATTACTGGAATCACAACACTTATGTGAAAAAAATACTGACAGGTATGGAATATGATATTTACTATGTCTTATCCAGTCAACAGATTGGATTAGCAAAGTGAATGCAAACCATTCAGATTATAAATGTTTTTTTATGAAAGTATATATGCTCTTGTATATCCCCCCCAATATTATTGTTGTAATGCTATTTCTTCATATTCTTGTTGTTCCACATGCTTTTGAGCCTGAACGCAACTTCCTGTAAAAGCATGTTGTGACAAATAGACTTTCAAAATAGATGAATGGTTCTTAACATGTTATGATTGCTTCTTTTTTTCAACAGGTGTGTAGCCTTGCTGGTAGCCTTCAAGCAGGTTATAGCTGATTATAACACACCACCTCAGAAAGACTTGTCCCGAGATCTAGATTACAAGATCAAACCGTACATCAAGTGAGTGCCGGTTTCACAAAGTTTTGCCATTCCTTCTCTGTGTAACAACATGATTAATCTTGGAAGGACAGATAATGCTATGTTCTTCATTGCTTTCTTGATGTGTAATTCTTATTTAAGGCTACAAATACTTACATACCTGAGACATTCTAGATCTAATTTATTTAATTAGTTAATAAGTAGGGGTTTTTTTAACAAAAATCTAAATACAAGATAGAATTTTGTTTATATAATGCAAGATTTTTTGAAAATTTATACTATTATCTCTATGTTGTGTAGTTTTGGCAATAGCCGTTGTGTATTATTATTTTGTATAGAGTACAAAATTGTTCTTGGCTTCTTGCAGTGTCATAGCTTTTGAATTTCTTTTTTAAAGTATGCAGATGAATATGTGTATGTTATTTATACTTCAAGGTGTAAAGAATTTCTCTGAGTAGTCCGTCTGTTGAAGTTTCAAAGGGAAATTCTCCCACATTATAGCGTCGCTGAAGAAAGCCTCACACAGATTTTTAGATTCTCTAGTTTGAACTCAACCTCGACCTCCTCTTGAAAAGACCATTATACCTTACAACCCATATTGCCATCTCTCTCCTAGTTTCCTCAACCAGTGTCGCCCCAAGTCAGTCAGCATGGGCAATGCTATCAAGTATCTTAAGATGCAGATCAACAATATCCCTCAAGGCATGCCAGACAAGGAGGTGAGAAAGTCTGTCGTACCGTTCAAGATTCTACTAGAAATTTATTTCAAAGTTTTCACACATTGCCAAGGGGACATGGTTGATCCCTGTGATGAGATTATGGGAACAAAATTCAGTAGTTACTAGATGAAGCGTTCACATGAATGTTAAAGATGATGAAGAGAGGACAGATGTTAGTATTATCCTGTTGGTACATTTATTTTTCTCCAGACGGGTGGGTTATTGTTGTATTATCCAGTTTTGTCATGTTGTTTGTTCCTGAAGTTCTGAAGCAGTCCATTGGATTAGGACAACTACACCCTTTACTACCACACCTAGGCAATAACCCTCATGGTAGCCTATCCGATATGCATCGGGCTTTACAAGTATTCTAATTGCGTTTATATGGAGAGTAACATCGGCACGGTCAGCCCGAGCGCCTATCATCACTGGTGCATGCGAAAAGTTTTATTATATTTTATGTACCATGTTTCATTCGTAGAAAATCTATGAACCCCCTGTGAAGCTCTTTCATGAATATTTATATAGCATGGACCAAAATAGGCCAATGAGCGATGCGGAACCCGGAGACGATATTTGATTGGTTGAATCAAAGGGATCGATCACCAAATAAGGCTAGTCTTATGAATCATGCATGAGAATACGCTCGTCACACATACGATACACATATATGAATAATGATGAGTAGACCAGTGATGAAAGGCGCTCGGGCTAACGCCCGCGCCGATGTCAGTCTCCCAAACGCGATTAGTACACTTGCCATTTAGTCCGACGCCTTTTGGATAGGCTACCCTCATGGGAAAACTTTCTTAAAACTTTACCCCTTGTAATACTGACCACGTACTGGAAATGGGGGAAGGGGTGGTGGGGGAGTTCTCAAGGGGATGATTGACCTGGGGGTGTTTGTTCTAGGAGGGAAGGCTTTCTTGGAGCTGTACTCAGTTTGGTAATTTTCATAGAAACTATTCTCTGGAAGATTTTAATCCAGCTGAATCTTTCGATCAGTCCCACAACAACCACAGCTCGAGATACAAGGTTGGAGACTTTGTTTTCATCTTCTTCAATCTCTACTTTTATATCCTTTTTATAGGCGAAACAGAGGTTGTGTGACTGCATAGACAGTTACGTGAGAGAAAAGATATTCTTAGCCCAGGAAGCCATTTCCAAGACGTTTGCTTGCAAAAAGATCAGAGATGGTGATGTCATCCTTATATACAGTTGGTAAGTTTGGAGACATCATCCGTTTCATACTTTTTTATATAATTTGTTTTCCTGTACCTGACTTTATCCATAGTTTCTTTTTTGTTATGTATGGTTGTTTATCTGTCACATGCTGCAGTTACAAATGTACATTGGTCAATACCCTATCCTATCAATTTGTTTAACTTCAACCCCGGACCAAATCTTAAACCTAAGCCTAACCCTAATCTTAAACCTTACCTTAAACACAACCGATAACCTAGCCCTAATCTCATTGGTTTGATGAAATAGAGCCTGGAACAGTTATTGCCTGTGCATATGTTGGAGCACCTTGCTTACTGGTACTACATTTAAATTACTTCATTTTGTAGTGTCCATTTTAATATGTAAGCACCAAAACATGTGTATTAAATATTTGAACAGGTTACCCTGAATCTGTCACTTGTATGTAGATTGCTTGCTTGATGAAAACCTATTGTACATATTCATCTTTTGGGTTATGTAAGTGAGTTTCACTGCATACCGGTAAGCAGAAACAATGGGTTATAAGACATGAATATGTTCAAGTTTAAAGAAAAAAATTGAAGTTTTTACAGATAGGATGTCATGTCCACCTGGTTAGAAAATGAACTTTAGATGACTTTAGATGATGTAACAGTATTTATTTTTTCTCTCTTTTCCAGCTCATCTTTAATCAGGAAAGTCCTGTGTGATGCTCATAAATCTGGTATCAGCTTCCGGGTCATCATGGTGGATAGCAGGCCGAAGGTTGAAGGTCGTGAGGGCATTAGAAGGCTTGTAGCTGCTGGGATCAAGTGTAGCTATATCCTCATCAATGCAGTCTCCTATATGATGCCTGAGGTAGGATATTGATGCAAGCTTACCCCCTCACATGCCACATTGTCAAATTTTAATTTAAATTTGCTTTGTTGGGATTTATAAAATTCTAAATTTCCCTGCATTTCTTTTGGTAGAAAATATATATGTTTTATGTTTCTGTACATACATGATTTTTGAATTTATTTATAGTGGAATCCAGATGTGAAAATGGAAAAGTTGCACTTACACGTTACTAATGGCAAGTAATGGATTTACATATTGGTCAATTTGTTTAATGCAGTGGTTTTAGAGCAGATGCTTTATGACAAAGATTACCTGATACTAACCCATTCTATTCGAAAAATAGACTTTCTATTTTAGTCTAAAAAAATTGACTGATTTTCAGTAAAATGAGTGCTTAAAATTTTGATAATTGTACTCCAATTGTTTCAATTTTCAAAACTAAATTTAAAAAAGTAATCACAAAGTGCGGCAGCTTTATTGTATTGCCCAAGTTATTGAAATGCAAGTTCGGCTTCTGCCGAACCTGCTAGAGCACGTTGCCAAGGTTTGGCTTCTGCCAAACCTGCCAGAGTAGGCCGTCAAAGTTCGGCTTTTGCCGAACCTGCTCGCTGCCAAGGTTTGGCTTCTGCCGAACCTGCCAGAGTAGGCCGTCAAAGTTCGGCTTTTGCCGAACATACTAGAGCATGCTGCCAAGGTTTGGCTTCTGCCAAACCTGCTGGAGTAGGCCGTCAAAGTTCGGCTTCTGCCGAACCTGCCAGAGCATGCTGCAAGGTTCGGCTTCTGCCGAACCTGCCACAGTAGGCCGTCAAAGTTCGGCTTCTGCCGAACCTGCTAGAGTAGGCTGTCAAAGTTCGGCCTCTGCCGAACCTGCTAGAGCATGCTGCCAAGGTTTGGCTTCTGCCGAACCTGCCAAAGTAGGCCGTCAAAGTTCGGCTTTAGCCGAACCTGCCAGAGCATGCTGCAAGGTTTGGCTTCTGCCGAACCTGCCAGAGTAGGCCATCAAAGTTCTGCCGAACCTGCTAGAGCATGCTGCCAAGGTTTGGCTTCTGCCGAGCCTGCCAGAGCACGCTGCAAGGTTTGGCTTCTGCCGAACATGCCAGCGCACGCTGCCAAAGTTCGGCTCCTGCCGAACCTGCAAGACCACCCTGCCAAAGTTTTCTTCTTACAAAAAACTTCTCATTCCTCCTTACATCGATCATCCCGGCGTTTCTTTGTAGTGCAACTTACTTTCAATCCTTGGGGAAATCAAAGGCATACACTGTTTATATACTAAAGACATATAATTTGTATGCAGTTAATTGAAGTAATTATGGTACTCTTTGCAATTTTTTTGGCCATGATGTTAGGCATATTTGTCCTGAAATTATATTCTGCTACTTGGTTTTAACTTGGAAAGAAATTGTCTACTGAATGTATGAACATAGATATCTGTAGCAGCAAAATAACATCCATGTATATTAATGATTATTTCTATTTATATTGTATTTGCCCCTTTAAGATGACCTGATGGGCTTGTGCAAAACTATGCCTATTCGCAATGTTCATGTACCATACTGTATACATGTATGTAGTATTTGATGGGCACTTCTAGCTGGTCCAGCAATGTTTAGATTACTCCTGACCTGTCTGACCCCTGAGTTCACATTGTCCACATGAAGACACGTCATGTATATATTGGGGCATCGGTAACTGTGTTGTAGGGCAGAGTGAGCACCTCTTGTTACAGAGTGAGCTGATGAGCATGCACCTTCAGATTTTTCCAGAATTATGTTATTTTATGTTGAATTGGGGTTAAAAAACAGAAAGTTGCTCTGAGGGAAAGTAGAAAAATTATAGTAGATTGGTGAAAATTTGACGGAAATTAGACAAAGAATAAAAAAAGTTATGATTTTTAAAAAGTTGTAATCACTACACATAAGGGAATCTCAAATTGGCAAACTATAGTGATTCGACTGTGACGTATTCCCTGAAAACTCTCCCATTTGTTGTACCCTAAAATAACATTAATTTCCAGTGTTCTCCTAAACACCTTTTCACTCTGGGTAATATTCAAAATATATATGGATTGCATGTATGATGTTAGGGGTCCTGCAATTAACAAGAAATCTCTATCATAAATTCTGAAAAATGAGATTTTAGTCATGTTTGGTATTAGAACAAATGACAGGGTTGTACGGGCACTATGTCATAGTGGCATTACCGATTCAGCCAATTTGAAACTCCCATATGTAAAGTGATAGCATTCATTAAATTTTACAACTTTCAGAAATTCAAAGCTATATAACGTATGATTTGTCCGATTTCGTAGAAAATTTCACCAATCTGCTCCAATGATTATTCGCTTTTCCCAAGAGTAAGTTGCTATGAAGGTAGGATTTCCCTTTAAACTTTAATGTAGCATCTTCATAAGAGGGTTTTTTAATGTCAAACTCACTCGATTTATTAGATAGATTAGTTTTGGACTGATCTAATCATGCCATCTATGATAGTATTTTTCCCATTCCTCCTTGCATCATCCCATTTCTTGTATATAGTACAACTTCCTTTCAATCCTGGGGAAAATCAAAGGCATGCACTGCATATATACTAGAGACATATAATTTGTATGGCCATGTGTGAAGGTATGAAGTAACAAATGATATCAGGTATCTGTCCTGAAATTATATTCTTCTACTTGGTATTAACTTGGAAAGGAATTGTCTACAGAATGTATGAACATACCGTAGATGTCTGTATTGACTGTAGGGGCAAAATAACATCCATGTCCATTAATGATTATTTCTGTTTATATTGTATTTGCCCCTTTAAGATGACCTGAAGGGCTTGTGCAACATTATGCCTATTTGCCATGTACATGTACCACACTGTTTACATGTATGTATGTATTCCATGGGCACTTCTAGCTGGTCCAGCAATGTTTAGATTACTCCTGACCTGTCTGACCCCTGGGTTCATGTTGTTCACATGAAAACCTGCCATACACATTGGGGCATTGGTCACTGTCATTTGTAATATGTGTCGGACATAAAAGTACAGTGCAGATGGCTGTTTATGGGGGAAGTTGGTACTGCATGTGATTTTTGTAAGTAACTTAAGTAATTAAATTTCTTGACAGAAGAGCTGAGAGTAGAACATAGTGCAGATCTTCCAAAGTCAGTTAACATTCAAAATTGCATGAAATAGAAGTATCGACGTACAGTGCATGTAGACATGGACAATTTAAAAGGGCACACACTCACAAAAATCTCTAACTCTCTTGATTCATGTATGTAGACCTACATGTAAATATCAATATCTTAATGAAAAATTGATTCAATATCGTACTCGCCTTTTTCAGTTTTACGTGCCAGAAGAATAATTGCGTCCACAGCTTGTAGAATTCAGCTTGCCCAACAACAGTGGGATCAAATAACTCTTCCTTGTGGCTGATCCTGGAGGTATTCATTGTATATCTTTCTTGTGGTAGACATGGGGCACACAAATTTCATCTTTATGTGGCATGTGGTCACCTCTGATCTGCTTCAAATGTATTCTTCCAGCCAGATGGTACAGAGAATACTGGTTTGAGACATTTTTCTGTTCGTGAATTTGGAAGATGAGAGGCTTCCCATTAAGGCAGCTCTCTTCCTCTGAAGAATGATGCTCTATGAATGCCCATGCAGGAATGTGTAGAATTCAACTTGACACACTTTTGGTCCTTTTTCAATTTCAATTCTTGAGTCCTTTGAATGTTTAAAGCTTAATTGGCAGCATGCTCTGGCAGGTTCAGCAGAAGCCAAACTTTGACGGCCTGCTCTGGCAGATTCGGCAAAAGCCGAACCTTGGCAGCAGGCTCTAGCAGGTCTGGCAGAAGCCGAACTTTGACGGCCTACTCTGGCAGGTTCGGCAGAAGCCAAACCTTGGCAGCGTGCTCTGGCAGGTTCGGCTGAAGCCACATTTTGACGGCCTACTCTGGCAGGTTCGGCAGAAGCCGAACCTTGGGAGCGTGCTCTGGCAGGTTCGGCAGAAGCCGAACTTTAACGGCCTGCTCTGGCAGGTTCGGCAGAAGCCGAACTTTGGCGGCCTACTCTGGCAGGTTCGGCAGAAGCCAAACTTTGACGGCCTGCTCTGGCAGGTTCGGCAGAAGCCGAGCCTTGGCAGCATGCTCTAGCAGATTCGGCAGAAGCCGAACTTTGACGGCCTACTTTGGCAGGTTCGGCAGAAGCCAAACCTTGGCAGCGTGCTCTAGCAGGTTTGGCAAAAGCCGAACTTTGACGGCCTGCTCTGGCAGGTTCGCCAAAAGCCGAACCTTGGCAGCGTGCTCTGGCAGGTTCGGCAGAAGCCGAACTTTGGCGGCATGCTCTAGCAGGTTCGGCAAAAGCCGAACTTTGACGGCCTGCTCTGGTAGGTTCGGCAAAAGCCGAACCTTGGCAGCATGCTCTAGCAGGTTCGGCAGAAGCCGAACTTTGACGGCCTACTCTGGCAGGTTCGGCAGAAGCCAAACTTTGACGGCCTGCTCTGGCACGTTCGGCAGAAGCCGAGCCTTGGCAGCATGCTCTAGCAGATTCGGCAGAAGCCGAACTTTGACGGCCTACTTTGGCAGGTTCGGCAGAAGCCAAACCTTGGCAGCGTGCTCTAGCAGGTTTGGCAAAAGCCGAACTTTGACGGCCTGCTCTGGCAGGTTCGCCAAAAGCCGAACCTTGGCAGCGTGCTCTGGCAGGTTCGGCAGAAGCCGAACTTTGACGGCCTGCTCTGGTAGGTTCGGCAAAAGCCGAACCTTGGCAGCATGCTCTAGCAGGTTCGGCAGAAGCCGAACTTTGACGGCCTACTCTGGCAGGTTGGGCAGAAGCCAAACCTTGGCAACGTGCTCTGGCAGGTTCGGCTGAAGCCACATTTTGACGGCCTACTCTGGCAGGTTCGGCAGAAGCCAAACCTTGGCAGCGTGCTCTGGCAGGTTCGGCAGAAGCCGAACTTTAACGGCCTGCTCTGGCAGGTTCGGCAGAAGCCGAACTTTGGCGGCCTACTCTGGCAGGTTCGGCAGAAGCCAAACCTTGGCAGCGTGCTCTAGCAGGTTTGGCAGAAGCCGAGCTTGCATTTCAATAACTTGGGCAATACAATAAAGCTGCCGCACTTTGTGATTACTTTTTTAAATATAGTTTTGAAAATTGAAACAATTGGAGTACAAAAATCAAAATTTTAAGCACCCATTTTAATGAAAATCAGTCAATTTTTTTAGACTAAAATAGAAAGTCTATTTTTCGAATAGAATGGGTTCACTGAATAAGCAAATCTTGTCACAAGCAAGTTATCAAGAATGGTTGAATAACCTAGCAAGGAATGTGAAAATGAAAGAAAGTCTAGTGATTTATGAGGACATGAGTAAGGATTTAGACGCCAAGATAGATGGGGAAGAGGTGCAAGAGATCAAGAACAGTAGTAGAGATCGATAACAGATGCTTCTATTGAATGATATCTCTTTGAGATCCAATACATGAGGTAAATATGTTCAGGAACTTCAGGCCTTTCATCTTAAATTGTCAGTTTATGATGGATAATTCTGTTATTCTCTTTTTCTCTTAAATATATTTGATCCAAGGTATCTAAAGTTTTCCTGGGTGCACACGCCCTCCTTGCCAATGGCTACGTCATGTCAAGGGTCGGATCATCTGTCATCGCTATGGTAGCAAAATCCTACAATGTTCCAGTTCTCGTCTGCTGTGAGACATACAAATTTAGTGACAGGGTACAGACCGACAGCTTTGTAACAAATGAACTTGGTGAGTGGACATAAGTTTTATATTTGGAATGTTAAAGTTTGATGGTTTTTTTGCAGAATGGCAGTGCCATATTTTCTTTTTATTTTTTATTTTGCACTTTACAGCTTAACACCAGTAATTGCAGACCAGGCATTTTAATCCTTAAACAATATATTGTACCAAAGATTAATCCTGTGATTGCCCCTCAAGGTTATTAACAAATGACCTCTACCTTCTATCATGATATTATTTAACATTTGCAGGGAAAGTAGGAGTAAATTTAAACCTTTGGAAGTACAAAAATCATGTTATTGGTCCTTTTTTTCTATCATGTTCATATTTATGAATTACTAGCACCTACAATACCATTATCATTTCTGAACTCATAGTAGATGATTTAATAACCTTTGACTTTTGACCTTTTCCCTTTTCCCTATAGGTGACCCTGGTGACCTAGTCTCTATCAACCGCTCAAAGTGCAACCTGGCTGACTGGAGAGACATCAATGCCTTGACACTTCTCAACCTCGTATATGACGTCACCCCGCCAGATTTTGTTTCCATGGTGATCACCGAGATAGGAATGTTACCGTGCACGTCCGTGCCTGTTGTACTTAGGGTCAAGAACATAGAGAGCTGAGGTCAGCAAGAGTAGCCGGATATGAACTCTCATCAAGTAGTGCTCTATGATGCTGTATCTAACCCATGTAGATACAGTTTGAAAATTGGTTTAACACACATTTTCCATAGATTCCAGCACTAGCCATCTCGAGATTGGTATCCAATGGGTTAAAGGGAGTGTAGCATGGCAAATACTGGTTAACGCCATCTACGTCTTCTTTTAGACAACTGCACGTAAACGAATGGACTTGATTAACAGTAGTCAGCGCGTGCGAAACAGACTGAAGTTCTCCTCACGCTTCGGATTTGCGTATATTGCATGCACATGAATGATGTGGTCGCTTCGTCCGTTGTCGTATTATACCCAGTTGGCCCGAGTATAGCCATGCTACACTCCCTTTAAAGGCTATATTTACATGTACAGCTTGGCTTGGATTAAGGATAGCTCAGAGGAATTATAATACTCTGCAAGGAATGGAGATGGTGCTCAGTCATGCCATTTGCAGATGTGATAAAGATATGGGGTGGTGACTGTTATCTGTGAACACTTTGGGCAACAATGAATTGGAAAATGTTCAAGTTTATTGATATCGTCACTCTTCAGTGTATCCTTATTTTCCTTATTCAAAATATCAATTACAGATAGTCTATATTCATTCATAACTTTAGTTTTGCATGATGTGATCTCTTCTAGATTCTGTCTCTTAAAAATATCTAATCACATGTTACAATTTACACATTTTCTTTTATTTGGAGGGGAGGAAAGTTGAGCAAGGATTACGATCTAATCCTTATGTGTGCGATGGGAATTTTGAAATCTTATTAACCCCATTGCCTCCAGGAACCAGATGGTACCTGTATAAAGCGTATAGAAACTGTATAAAAGAATTAACTTTTCAATTATCAACTACCAGGAAGTATTTCTCCTTTAACTTCTGTATTCTTCTTCCGCTTCATTATAAGTACAGGCCACTGCCGGGTGTATTCTCATACTGATGTAGGTGCTGTGCAGTTGTATATATAGTGACTCAATAAAAGACCTACAAAGAACTGTGCAGCAAAACAGACATCTGTAGCTTAAGAGAGCTGGATCTCGAGTACCTCTCTCTTAAAGCTTGGCAGAGAGGTACAGGTGACGGCAGCCTGGGGGTAGTGAGTTACAGAGCCTGGTGGCATCAGGAAAGAAACTCCTTTGCAGTACTTGTGTCCGAGCATATGGCACTTGGAGTTTCTGGTCATGGCCTCTTCTCCCGAAGCAGGTAGGGATGGAGTCAGAGCTGCCAGGGGGATGAAAATCAGCGAGTTCTTAAAGGGATCGTTTAACAATGTTAAATCTGAGATACACGGCCCTACGTGTTATCAGTGTCTGTGATATGGTGTAATATTGAAGCCCTAAAAAAATTGCGCTTCAAAATGATCAAGAAGTGCCTCAAAAAAGTAAAAATCTTTGAGTGACCGGTTTTACCATACTCGTTTTCCCCAATAGACTGTAGTGTTATGAAAACCGTCAGGCGAACGGTTTTCAAAATTTGTAATTTCAATCATAAATATATTGACAATCAGACAAGCGATCGGCTTGTAAAAGTCATGGGGTTCCTAACTGACCTAAAGGTTTATAATTATCATTGCATCATGAGCTAAATCCAGAATTTTGTTTCAGAATCTGAGACAAAGTTACCGGATCCCTTTAATGCAGAACATCATCGCTACCTTCACCTGGGCTCTCCTTTCTTGCAGATATGGCCATTGTAGTTGGTCACGCATGGCTTTGACACTGCTGGTTCTGTGGTGGTCATTGCAAACAAAGCGTGCATATCTCCTCTGGATCATCTCTATATTTCCTGATGTTGGCTTGGGTGAAGGGATCCCAGATGATGCTCCCGTATTCCATGACTGGTCTAAGCAAGGTTAGGTAGCAGAGCACTTTGACTTTACGTGGGCATGATCTGATGTTCCTCTGGAGGTAGGCTCGGATGGAATTAGCCTTTTTTGTTACTTGGTCGATGTGGTAATTCCAACTAAGCTTCTTGTGTAGATGGATTCCAAGATAATTTGCTGGGTCTGCATTCTCCAGAGTGCATCCATGAATGATGTACGACTCGATGATAGGCTTGCATTTGTTGGAAACATGGAGGACCTGGCATTTCTCCGGGTTGAACTCTTACTACCCAGTCGGCTTCCCATTGCTCCAGTGAATGGATGTCTTCCTGGAGTTGTGCACTGTCACTTCTGACCCAATGTTGCGATAGACTAGGCAGTCATCTGTAAAGAGTCTAACAGTGCCGTGGTGTCAGAAGACAGGTATTCTGGCAGGTCATTAATAAACAGCAGAAATAACATTGGGTCGACGACGCTACCCTGCGGAACTCCAGATGTCACTTGGGACTTGGTAGAAACGGTTCCTTCAAGGACTACCTGCTGCATATTATTACAAAGAAAGTCAGCTATCTATGCTTGGGTAGAGTTTTGTATGCCGTAGTAGTCAAGCTTATGAAGAAGCCTTCCATGTGGTACCTTGTCAGAGGCCTTGGCAAAATCTAGGAGAATGACATCAAGATGTTCCCAGTTTTCTATACCCTTGGCAAGATCTTGGACGGCAGGGTCATTAACTGATGAACAAATCAAGGGTTCAGTGACACAAAGACGTAACTCCACACTTCGCCAAAATGAGTATTTGATATCAAAATGTTCAGAAAATTGTGTGCTTTCCAGTAAACACAAAGACTTAACTCCACCCAACACTCCAATGAAGTCAATGGCTAGTGAAACATCTAAGTGCTCAGTGACACATAAACCACTTTTTCTCAAAATGGCCGAAATGGAGTTACATATTGGTGTCACTGACCCCTCGCAATCATCTCAGCATATATGGGACCATATATAGAATGAACCACTGCACTTGGGACGTCAATTTTGTACATGAAGTTTGTACATGAAGTTGGGCTCGAAGAAGTGCAGCTTGGTCACATACTCTAATCAGCTAATTGTAACAATACTGAATATGAAAAGCTGTATGGGTATATTTGATTATGCTTGGATTATTTTCAGTTTTGAGAAAGTATATGGTTACTCTTCAGTCTTGCATTTCACATCTTGGATAGTTATTTCGCATGATTTAATTGTGCATACTTGTGCATACTGATACGATATGTTGGCAATATTGGAAACTTTTTAAGCACGTAAATGTATTGTAGCTTAAAACCTTATGCATCAGAAAATCCAGCATATTCTCACCCAATGGAGTTGTTGAACTACATATGTGTATGTTTGGCATGAACATTTATCTCTTCCTCGAGCTGAAACAGGGACATGAATGGAACCATAAATTTCATTCATAAAATATGTTGGTAATAGATGTCTGAATAACCTTTAGAAAAGCGAAGTGAAACTTGTGCAAAGTAAAGTTGCCAAAGTTAAATGCATAATGAAAGCTTCTGGTTTTGCAATATGTAAAAACTTCTAATTACATAAATGTTTATCTTTTCTGACCACAGCAATTTTACTGGATGCTCTCTGTACAAAGCTCGACAATACATGGAAAAGAGAACATGACACATGATTCATTATGATAGAAATCTCAATTTATTGAGCATAATTATCAATTTCCCTCTCCAGTATAATCAGTAATAAAGATCACTGCATGTTTATTTCTTTGTCTTCCTGAATTTGTTAATACAATATTCATGTACATGTAAATACAAGCTAGATAAACTATCGCAGATAGAAAAGTGTTGTGAATTTCATTCTAATGTGTACAGTGTTATATCTTTTGAGCAGTAATAGGATATGCATTGGAAGTGAATGTTATTACATAGAAGAGAATGAGAGGGATAAATAATTCACAAAGAAGATATTATAAACAGATATTCGTATCTCCTTCCCATTTTATGACAAATTAATTGATTTTTTTTAAATAAAAAAAAGAAAAGAAAAGAAACAAGCTAATCATGAATGTTAGTATGTTTAAATATGGTAATGACAAGTCTGAAGGAAAGACATGTGATTTGAACACAATAGCAAAACATAGAGAATTTTTGAAAAATCTACTTTGAAAACAATATCTAGTACTATTCCTTAACATCCAATTATCATCTACAGTGATTATCGCAGTGACTCGTAAACAAAGATTTGTTGTTATAAAGAAAACCTGAAAACGGTCATCAGCAAATAAAGTAAACTGTCTGCACAAAGAATAGAGAAAGCTTTGACATTTCGTCAAATTTGACTGTCGTAAATGTGACCGCTTCCTGAGAAAGAAAATGCTGTTTTCATGATCATGTGATATACGTAGTTTAATTTAGGGTCAGATGGTTTTTGGGGTCAGATGGTTTTGAGAGTCCAATGATGTTGAGGTCTTTGGTAAACCAATACAATGTACAGCATGGAAACAAAATTACTAAGACTTAAACAAGTTACATATGGTGTTTCTGTGGTAAGATGAAAATAGAATAATATAAGAGCAAAGTACAATTGCAGCAGTATGAAAATGGAATACAATTTTAGAAAGTTTTTTTTTTAAAGATCATTTGTTTTTTATAGTTGCATTCATTACACTAAACCCCTGATTATTTTCCCAGGGCTGTATGTATTGATGCACTGTAAAACCAGAAATTTTCATGTACAAGAATCTATGGCAAATTTTGTATGTGGTCTAGATTTCACAAAAGTTTCATGGCATTGGCAAATTGGAAGACAGGCCTAAAAAAAATGGTCTTAATTTCTGCTGCCAAATTGGCCATAGTGAGGAATTAGCGAAAATGTCAAGTCGTGAAAGTTATTGGTTCTATAGTACAGCTCTACCACTTCATGAATAAATGTTAATCATGATTTTCAGACTTAAAGGCGAACAGGTAATGAAATAAACTTTGCTAAACAAAAATAAGGCAAATTCAGTCAATGAACATAAGAAGATCATACATATATTTAGCATAATATCTGGGATAAATGCAGAGAAATTGGGAATGGGGGAGAATACAGAAATAGAGAATGAAAATAAAATAGAGATATGACCTCTTCAAAAGGTCGAAAACAATACATTTGGATGCAAGTAAATAATACATCAGTAGTGCAATGTAAAACCAATGTAAAACCAATGATTTTACCAATGCTTCCATATATATTGCAGATAACAAGTGTCATATTGTAAACATAATGTAAACATGTAGTAAATCCCACATTCATATCGCTCATAGGTATAGACTTCTATGAAGTCTTTGGCAGAAGTTTCTACTCCAGACATGATTCAGGTAATAAAATAGAGCTCCAAATTCATTACATTCAAAATTCCACACTAGTCTGAAATGTAAGACAATAGTCATCTATGCTACCCCCAATAAATCCCATCAAAATAGCACTTGAGCTTTCCTCCAGCAGGCATAGCCCCTTCTGATTTGTAATTACAAGAGAAATAAAGCTATCTGTAACCAGACACCACAAAGCAGAAACAAAGTAACAAAAAATTCCTTTTCTTGATATTTCTATCTTCAAAGTTCAGGTTCTGAACAGTCCCACAGCATATGAATATCTTTGCAGATACAGAAGGAGAATTTTAGAACTATAAATCCCTGAACAACAACTTTCTTTCATTTTCAGTTTCACTGATATGTTATTGACTTTGTCCAGGCTTTGTGGTGACTTGCTGCAGTCTCATACTACTTAGTAGTTCTACGATCAAATGAATACAACTTTATCTTTTCTTCCAGTCTGTGCTTTAGCAAAAATGGACTGGATGCTTGCGAAGACTGCGTCGGGTGCTCTAGCAGCATCTACCCGTTGATGGATCCCTCGTTTGGAGTAATAATCAACGAGAGGTGCAGTCTGCTTGTGGTAGGCTTCAAGGCGTGTTTTCAACGTTACCTCGTTGTCGTCTGATCGTTTGATCAGTGGCTCACCAGTTACCTAAAACATGGGGAGAGGGCAAAGGGTACATTTGTAATTATATGTACATGTTCAATCAAACCTGTACACGAACACTGCTCACATGGAGCAAAAGAAATCTTGTTTCGGTCAGGTACTGTAGTCATCATATACAGGTTAATATACAGTATGATTTAATGAGAATTAGAGTGATTGGCAATATATTTGTGTTTTCTTTAAAAACGTTTACAAAAAACATGAGAAAATTTTGTGCCAAGTCCAAGAACCCTGAATTCTGCTAATCACTGAAACCTACAGGCATGAGCAATACCTTGTCTACTGATCAAACTGTTAATCTTTGGCACACAAAATCTATGACTTTTACATGTCTACATCATCAATGGGATTAGCTACCTTATAATCTACGACGCGAATAGGAACTGACTTGCATCTGTGATTTACAATTAACTAGAACATATACGATGGGAGAATGGATCCCCCATACACATATAAATTAAAATCTCCATGGAAATGAGTCTGAATGAGTCTGGGGCATATGAACATGGACATACTTCAGACACTGCCTTACCATCAATTTAACATTTTTTTATGGACAATGAGGGTAGTAGGAGAGGGGGATAACAACTCTAATGGGTATCACATATTTCCCCTGCCCCTCAACCCACGTAGATTATTCTGAAGTTCTTACTTACATCATCAGTCATAGGCTTCTTTGGAGGGCTGAATTCTGTGTGATAAGACCTCCCACTGGGCTTGTGGATCAGCCGTCCGGTGATTCGTTTCACAAGAAGTGAATCGTCAATGCCGAACTCGACTACTGAGTCCAGGGCAGTCTTCCTCTTTGTGAGAAGTTCGTCCAGCTGTAGAAAGAAGAAAGATATTATGAAGTTATTTAGATACACGGTAGTCATGTAAAACTGTGGGCAGCAATAGCTAGATATCACTTCTTTTTTTTAAAGGCTACAACATATACTTGTCATCATTTGCTACATATTTCTATCACTATGTTGTTTGCCTGAAACTTAAAAACTTGAATATTTATAAAAATGCATCTACAGAATTTTTAAATCAGCACTACCGGTATTACATTTAATTTTCATGTCAATGTAAAAATGAGCAAAAGATATGAAAGGTCCAAACATTGTATATGGTTGGTCACAGAACTGAAGATGTCAAAGACATCATGTTTTCAATTCAATTCAATTCATATTTATTTCATTTCCAACAGAAAGGATAAACAAAGGTATTACATTCTTATCTTACATAATTCATTTTCTTCTGGTAACTATACAAATACACTTTGCACATAATAAAATTATTACAACAAGAACATCATCAACATCAACATCATTGATAGATCACCTTCTCAGCCTGGACAACGGTCCTTGGGAAGCCATCTAGAAGGAAGCCATTCTTGCACTCAGGTGCACCCAGCTTGTTATCAATCATCTCCACCACCAGCTCATCGCTGACCAGCTTACCGCTGTCCAACACCACCTTCAGCTTCTTACCGAGGTCCGAGCCTGAGGCGATGACCGCCCTCAGCATGTCACCCGTTGCAAGGTGACATACGCAGTACTTCTCTGCAAGCTTGGGTGCCTGTGACGGAAAGAAGAAAGAAATGCACAGAAAGATTTGGTGATGGGGGTGTACTCTTGCTCCTAATTCTGGTGATGAAATCAATTTATCTCTAAAGCAGTTGGAAGCGCGACTAAGATATCGCATTCCATGTTTTGGTTCATGGAATGGAGGGCAACTGCGATTTGTTTTCTTCTTTCTTTTCTTCTAACAACCATCTAAAACAATTTATCTTCAATTTCAATCTATATCAGCCTCTAAGTGCTTCAAGAGATCAGTGGTAACAAAGTACAGCCTACATGACTGCTATAAAGAGAAGCACATGTGTGTGAATAGATCCATGGGTTAAAATGAAGACAATCGTTGATGAGGGGTATTTTGCATTTCCAACGTCCATTTAAAATTAAAGATCACCAATTTTATGTAACCAAACTCATGGATAACATGTATGATATTTACTGTTTCTATATTCTCATATATGGTAGATTTAAGGGGCAAAATGCCCTCGGCTTCATATCTTTTTCACTGTGTGACATATGCATAATTCATGCAGACATACATGTACTGCAGTTGAGTATCAACACGCATGTATTGGATTCAATACCAGTATATAAATAGCATGGTTGCTAATAAGCAGTTAAAATATAGCATTTGTCTCTCAGGCAAGCTACTGGTACTGTATTTACATTTGAGCATCAATTAAAGGAAGAAATATCATGCTTTCCTAATTTTAAGTGATTCATAAATTACCTAATAATAAATAATCCTCCACTAAAAAGAGCATATGTCATACATTCTTGTAACAAGCTTCTTTCAACAGTATTACCAGTAATGAGGATCCTTAAGACTATTACAACAGTGTCCTGTATGCACAGACTAAGTACATACAGTACATGTCAAATTCAATTATCATATCTCATCCTACGTTAGTAAACAGATGACATGTACTACACATCAATTGAGAACCATAAAAGGCAGGCGAGGCCTACCCCACCCCCTCAACCAATATCAATATAGCATTGGTGGTAGGATAGGAGCATACCATGAGGAAGTAAACAGTAAAAAAAAATGCATGCACAAATAAGTCACCCTCATAAGCACGTTTTGAGGGGGGCTTTGTTGCATAAAGCTATTTACTATTAAACCCCTCAACAATTCTTTTGACCATTCATTTGCACATAAAGTAAGTTTCTAACTTTCTATCTCGCTGCGATGGGTTTTGACAAAATGTGAAGATGTCTGTATGGATTTTTTTATTGCCATCAAGCAAATTTGCTTCAAAGGCCCTTGGGTCTGGAAGAGATGGACTTTGTGCCCTATTAGCAGTTAAAGCATCAAACATATCCATTTACAAATTACTGTTACTGCTATTTCACATCTAGCCATTGACTTTATCCAGTTATCATCAACTACAATTTCATTTTTTGTTAAAATGTTTTTTTTTAAAGAGTGCTTGTTTGTATTTAAAAAAAACGGATGAACCAGCTTCCTTTTTTTGTTTTGTTGTTGCATTGAATGGTAATTTCATCACTCATTCCAGATCTAGATGATACCATCGATGACATCATCTTCTCCCCAACCTTAGCAAACAAGATTTTTGTTTAAAACTTCAAGTGAGCAATTCTGACTATACCCTGTAGGCCTAGCCTCATATATTTTACAGAGTATACATGACGATAGTGAGGTTCACACGACAGTCTCTTAAGTTCAAATTTAAGTTGTCATTTTAAAAACGTCTAGTTTACTCAAAGAGTCAAAGTTAAAAACAATGGCAGATCTAAAGGTTAGCACGATAACTAAGTATGAGCAGTGGGGGGGGGGGGGAGTGGCTCAGGTGGTCCTCGCTGTAAGTTATGTGCCGTACAGACACTGAATTTTAAATTTACTCCAGCTCATAGTTAAAATAAATGCTTTCCCTGGCTTGTGGTTGTTTTGGTCCTGTGTGAACCCTCTTTGTTGAGAACTTTGACGGATCCGTGTAAACATAGCTAATAAAGTCCTCTGCATGTTCATGTACATGTAGATATGAGTGTCTACCACACAACAACTGATGATTAGCTGTGATAGCCGCTTGCCTAGAAGGAATTTTAATTATGCTGATACAGCCGCCGCACGTACACCATCACACAATGACATATGGGTCCATCAAACAGACTGTACAGACACAATCAAATTAAAGGGACACATCAGAAGGTGAACCCAAAATACCCTGTATATATAGGCAGACAAAATGATGTACTACTGTATAATATGTATAACTAAAAGGGATGTAAAGTTGGTTGAGAACCAGAGGGAGAGGGCCAGAAACATGTTAATAAAAGTTTATTAATTTTATTCTGTCCTTTTTTTTTAGCTATTGAACATCTCCCGCCCTCTTTATCTCTCATGACCTTTGTCATTATTGCCGTCTGAATATTTTGGCTGTATACATGGATCTGTAAGTCTGTTTTGCTGTCTCTGTCTGTCTGTCTGTCTGTCTGTCTCTGTCTCTCTCTCGCTCTCTCGCTCTCTCTCTCTCTCTCTCTCTCTCATTCTTCTCTTTAGTAGTACAAGTACCGGTATTACATTTTACCTCTCTGTCCCCTTCTTTGCCTCTTCGTCAAACCCATAGTGCTGTCAAATGCACATTTCTCTTTACCCCATCTGAGAAATGACCCAACTGTACCTGGACTCCTTTTCCAGCTCCTGGTGGACCAAGGAGTACTCCACAGATCCCTTGCGGTACTCCCTCTTCCTCTGGCTCCTGCATAACTGGATCCTGACTCTTGATTGCGGCAGCCATCTTGGTTCACAGAAATGCTCCTTCCAATTTCCAGTCAAAAATTGATAAAAGCTCTACTTCCAATAATTTCAAATGACTGCTTGGATGTGTATGATGGCCTATTGCAATCGTTTCAGATATTTCCCAATCTGTTGACTGTTGGATATAAGAATGAAGTTGATTGGACGATGCCAAGAACATGCAGCCGGATGAACACGCTTCTGAGTTCTGACCAATACAAGATTGCCTGAAATTCTGAAAAACCACTGAAGCTGAGATCTGGTGGAATGGTCAACATACAGTACATCAGGTACTAAAGAGAAGTATCAATAATTCGCCATCACTTTGAAGGAGGGAGGGGGGAGGGGGGAATTAAACATACTTTCATCCAGACAAACCAAATATCATATGTGGAAAAAAAGAAAAATCACAACCAAAAACAAGGACCAAGAGGTCAACACAAAAACCACAAGTGGAACTAAATTTACTTAAAACCAAATCAGATACCTGTAGCATCTGTCAAATTGGTAGCTTCTGAGTTCATAAGTACAAATAAAAAAACCTGGACGCTCCATGAAACTGAAAGGCAAGCTAGTACAAGTAATCCTAGCAAAGCGAAGTCTGAGAAAGCAGCGATTATGAAAGTTGTGATTTTCTACATGCAAAGATAAATACTTGTATCACATGCCTAAGGAAAACAATAAAATGTACATTTCCTTCATACATACATGTACGGTACATGTAAATATATGCACTACATGTACATGTACATGTATATACCAGTCAGGCACTACTACTAGCTTACTGCAAAGGGGGCATTAAACACCTCCGGTAAAGGCCTTCAACAATACGGTACATGAACCAATACAATCCCAAAATCAAATTGAACAGGAAGTCAGCCTTCAGCCTGCCGTGAATGATGCAGGTACATAATCCAACCAGGCATTGGTATTACAGACAACCATTTGTACAAATAAATCGGTCGAGTTAACAGAGTCAATACTGAATTATTAAGCTGATCCCTCAGAAAGCCTTGTGAAAGCCTAATGTAGCTCACTTTCTGCTGCGAACCAAGCCACTCCACAGCACGAGATAGACATTATACTGAAATGCTAATCCCATACACACTAATCCCAGACACATCACCATAAATAACAAATAATTACTGCCGCAGCCTCTGTTTACATCCAGACTCCAGAACAAGAGAGCTTTTCATCTGCAAATATAAAACAAATGAAGCTTCCTCCAGATACACACTGCACTAATAATTCAATGAAAAACAAATCACATGAAAATAGCCCAGCAAACAGACGGATAACAAAACACACAATTCAACTACATGTATCATGTATCATGTACACTACAAGAGTGAAGAGTGAATCCTTTAGGCTTCCACGGTGTAGAGACAGCGTAATAGCCTCAATCAGTGAGGTGCCTCGGTACTATACAAAAACACGGACGAGAGTGAGAGCAGAAATGCTAACCAGTGATTCACGTCAGGGAGAGTTCAATGAGGGATGCCCTTGGACTTAATAGTCTGTAAATGCAGACCTTCTGACATTCATACAGTGTACATTTGTGTATGTAGCTCAGTGAACTGGTCTTAGAAATAAGTTAGGCTAAAAAAGACCGCACAATGTACATGTGTTGCAGTACACATGTACAATGTATGTGGCAATGTGCAAACTGATAATTAATTACCGGTAAAAAGAAATATACTGCATCAATTTATCAATTTTATCAGTATTTAATATGGATTAAAACAACAAAATAAATACGATGGACTGAGCGATATCATTATATCATAAATATCGCCTTATCGGTATATATTGAGTAACATCACTATGGTAATAATCACATCATAATAAATATTAATATCAAAGTCATTTTATTCTACTCAAGCTGTTACATTATCCCACTGAGAAACTTTGCTATTTGCTATTTTCCTTTTTCCTCGTCAACAATGATTATTGTACACAACATTTCGAGGGGTCAATGACACAAAGGCACAACCCCATTTTGAGAAAAAGTGGTTTACATGTATGTGCCACTTAGCACTTGGACCTTAAGGAGTTAAGTTAAGTCTATGTTTGACTAGCCATTGACTGTTGGGTGGAGTTAAGTCTTTGTGTTTCCTGGAAAGCCCACATTTTCTGAACATTTTGATATCAAATACTCATTTTGGCAAAATATAGAGTTGCGTCTTTGTGTCACTGAACCCTCGATTTGTAAATAAAGTTATGAGGAGATTTTAGCCAACTCCAAGGCTTATTTCATTTCATTTCATCTTCATTTCATTTTACCTACATGTATGTACTCAATACTCATGCACAAGATGGTATATTTCCGCATCATGATTTTCTTCTTTTTTAAAATTAGAAAAAATACACTTTTCAGTGGGCTATATATATATTTATAACATTAGCTTTTGAAATTTAAAAAAAACTTCAAATTCTTCAGATAATGCAAAATTTGGTATGGTGAAACTGATTTTTTTTTTTTTTTTTTTTTTTTTTTTTTTTATTGGGGGGGGGGGGGTTAAATTCCATGAACGCATTAAATAATGTGCCCACTAATACTATTTACGATGCTCTCAGATATCTGCTTCAGAACTACATTAATTAAGCAATGTATTAAGTACTGATTTTGATAACAGTTCAAAGAGCCATTAAACAATGAATTTTCATCAATTTTCCCTTGTGTATTCCCCTTCTACAGACCCATTAATAAAACTAGAAAAATTCTGCAACAAAAGTTCTTTTCGTCATGTTTTCTCTTCCCTGACACTCAAAGGAGTCACGATAACAAGGAAATAAAGAGCCCCTCTTTTGAATACAAAAATACCTGAAAACGTTTCCTTATGGGTACTATGTCCCATTTGCAGGCCAAAAAAATAATTTGTATATTAGGACACTACATGTATACACTGTATATACAGTATTTACCTGTTACAAAAATTATGTTTGTCATTATTTTGAGGAATCCACATTCTGCAAGCTCTGCTTTTCAGTGGATCCCTTCATTTCCACAAGTTTATCTTTACAAGAAATAATATAAACCCATTATACTGGATATGCATGTATACTTTCTATTCCACAACTTTAAACCATGTAAAATGTATTATATTATTGAATGTTGAATTGTATATTTTATTTCTTGTCAAAATAATAATAATAAATTATATTTCTATAGCGCATTATACAAGGTATGTCTCTATGCGCTTTGTACTGTTCTGTTGAAAATGAAAAATAAAAACTGAAACTGAAACTGAAGCTGAAACATGACATAATTCCTGCAAAGTTCTACAGACATACATGTAGTATCTTTAAAGAGAAGGTTCATTGAAATTTGAAAAATAAGCAAATTATATGTCTACAGTACAGATTGTTGAGAACATTAACAAAATGAGTAAAGTACTTTTTAAGCCCTCACTATTGTGAGGTATAATAAATGCAATTTCGTTACCATTTCAAGTTTCAAGAACTATCTCACAAAGTGAAATGACAGCGCTATTTACATGCGAAAAGGTGACGTCACAATATGAACAACCTACATCACACATTCGGGACAATGTTGGATACCCGTTGCAATATGGGTTACCGTTGTTTAAATTACCGCCAGTGGTGATATTTCCTTTACTTTCAGCATTTTGAATGAGATACCGATACTCTGAATTATTATTTATATGTTTTTATGTTTTTATGTTTTTATGTTATTTTCCGTCACATTCAAATCTGAAAAATAATCACATGTTCTGAGGGCAGGTCAGCGTGTATTATGGTGTCTGATCTGGGAGTGCAGAGGACATTTTTCATGCTAGCCTAACGACTCTACTGGAGCAAAATGGCCGCCAAATCAACATAAAAATAAACTTATCCAGATATTCATTACGAAAATATCGGATTAGGCCAATTCATGGTACCAGAAAAAAGGGGAAACTGAGACTAAAATCAGTCCGGTTCACGATCCCCGAGCTCGAGCGCTGGGCTGAATTGCATTGCTAGCCCGAACCAAACCACTGCACAATTGCATACTGTTGTACCATACCAACGAATGGCGCGGCAGGGTGCAGACTAGAGTTCGTAAAGACGTGCATAGTTTTTCAGTCATGCGCAGCGAGAGTTAAAAATGCGGCTGCAAGATTTTCAACACGGACGTCGATTTTTACCCATAATTTTCTAAAAAGGGACCATTAAACAGATTATTTCAGTGGTAAGTGGAACCGAAGTAGTTACATTGTTAGACCGAAAACTTCAGTCTCTCTAATCGTCGGTTGTTCCACTGAGACTACGTCTGGCTCCACTAGACCTCCGATTATAGAGACTGAAGTCTGGGGACCTCTTTCTGTGAGGCACTGTACGGAACAAATGGTTCGGTTTGACCGGACCGCGATGAATGAGATATGCAACGAGATTTTCACTCTTTACATCCTCATAACTGCTGCAATTACAACACAAATTAAAAATAACATATATATAGCTTATTTGACTTACGATAGCTTGCTCATTTAGACCCTAAATTAATGATTAATCCGAGAAAGTCTCGTCGTCAACATTATCCGTCTTGGTTTTAGTTGATGAATATTCATTTTTTCTTTTCGAGCGTCCAATAGCTACCGTAGCTACGTACGAGTCGGCCCAGCTTGACCAACGAACTCCCACGAAACGAGTGCTCTGATTGGCCATTTGGCTATGTTTTGGTAGGTGGACCCGGAAATATATCGGCCGCCGGGTAATATTTCGAATGCATATGAACGTACTGCTTCGCGGATCTGAGATACAAATTGGATAATTCATATAAGTAAGCCCGTAAATTATGTATTTAATATTAAGTTATCAAATTTTGATAACTGTAATTAGGACAAATGACATACCGACCTAATTTACATCTGATTTAGAAATCAGAAAATTAGATCTAAATAAAGAAAATCGGGGAGAAAATGTTTTGACAGAAAAAGCTGCCATTGTTGGCTATAGCTACCCCCACGGTACGAGATCTCTGGGTTGCCATCTGTATTGGGGAATGACAACAAATGTCAGTTTTATTAAAGAAATGACCCAAATCAGATGGTTATTGCTGTCTATTACATTGTAAGCCTATACCTAATTTTCAAAATAAGATGCATCGGATATGCATCCTGTGAAATATGGAATTTGGCCGGTAGTTTTGCCAAGTTGTTTGGTGTAAAGAAAAGTTACACAGAACATGAACACTAAAGCGTATGAGCCTGTTCTATCTCTAAAGAGAGCGCCGACCCGACCTATATCTGAGGCTAACGAACGAAAGAGACAGAAAAATTTGGTCTAGGTGTGGCCGGGCGAGTTTGCGTGAATTCGATAACTTCACGCACCCCTCTGTTGGTGCGGTACATATGCGATTGTATAATAATTGTGCAGAGGTTTGCCGTGAAACCTGAGAGAAAGTGAAAATTATAATGTCTTCGTTTTAAGGAAAAGTACTCCAAAAGAGATAAGAAAATTGACACGAAAGGGGTAAGAAATATAATGACTCTATATCATGACCATTATTTGACCTATCCCGACGATTCTTCCATGTTGTTTGCGTACTTAGTGCGTACTTTCTCTTTGCCGGTTGAATCGAGTCAATCGACGAAACAACATGGAAGAATCGTCAGGAGACAGGACTCAGGAGATAGGAAGAAGAATCACCCCCTTTTTCCCATCGAAGACTTCTTCAAATTATAATTTCAAGTTGCCGGCTAGATGCCCAGAGCAATCGAGCAACCTAGTAAGTCAAAATTGCTGTGGTTACTCCCTTTGCATATTTTGAGATAATGTCACCCAACCCGCTGTTAGAATGTTTTTTGATGCACGAACCCGAAGCTCCCACGGCGACGCCTTCGGCGTGGCATCATATCGGCGTCGGAGCTTCCCGGAATTAGGTAATTACATGAATATCAACATGTGGGGCCACAGCTACTGACCTGACAAATATCTAGCATAGCAAAATCATTTTAAAGTTTTAATTATTTTTTCATCATACCTGGGTTCCCTTGCCTGCTCCTGGTGGCCCTAACAAGATGGCCTTGATTCCATCTGGAAGATCGTCAAATTGGGGCTTGGGTTGAGCTACAGGCGGCATTTTGTTGACAGAATTTCAGTCGTTATAAGCCGGTTGACGTCGGTCGGGTTCACACGTGTGACGTGTAAAACGATAGCTGTGATCGTTCATGCGGTGCATTTTCTCTGAAGTTGACAATTATTCTTTGACCAAATGTACTTTTGTTTTTCCTTTTATTATTGCAATTCATGTTTAAGTCAAAATATCAATGTACAGTGCATCCAGTTGTGTTATGAAGAATAAACATGTACAATTTTGTTATCATGATTTGTATAAAACTTGAGATAAAATCTTAAAAAATAAAACAATTCTGTATTAATATGTGAGAAATATGAAACTCACTTTGTAAGTATTCAGTCTATTTCTGAAAACAAGCAATGCTTGTTCCAATTTTTGAGATGAAATAACTGTGTAGTAAGGTAACTAATAGTTTCCTTTTATGTGAATGTGAAGTCCTTGTGAAATTAAGACCAATAAACAATGTTATGTTCATCACCAAGTGATAAAAAAGCTTTGTTATAATCATGTTGCAGTTTTGTATTTACTATATGTTAAGTACGAAAAAGAATTAGCCTTTTGAGAAATAAAATCAATGAATACCCAAAAATATACATATTATATATGCAAAAATCGCCTATCATTATTTTATCAGGGATATCTCATCAGTGAACATTGTTTTAAGTTTTTCCAACAATATATTTCCCCCTCTATAGGCCCCATACCGTTAGCGGTAATACTTCATGCATGATGCATCTGAGGAGTGGCCAGGGCCAAGCATTGCCATTGATGAAGAATTCGTGTGTTCTTTTTCCTACAAAATTAAAGAAATATAAGCCTGCTCAGATCTTCCAGTGGCAAACAATAAGTCAAACATGAGACTAGATGTGAAGCAACTTTGATTTAAAAAAATATCCTGAATGCAGTCTTATAGCATAAAGTTTTCAAATCATATATATATATAATATAATATAACAATCATAATGATCTTTCAAATCATTTTATATCAAAAAAATATTCAAGCCACAAAAGAAAGTGAAACTTGAATAACACTCCGTTAATCCCTCCGCTTTTCCGAAATCAGCGACTACATCGCATTCGAAGTGGTAGGCTGTCTTGTGAAAATGCTATGTAATCCAATGGACTTACTAGTTGACAGTAAGTCCATGGTAGTTGGATGGTATGGAGTGCAGGCGATGGGCATGAATTTTGTAGAGATAATGAAGTTTTATCTTTAAAATAGAATCATTGACAGTGTAGGGAAGGGATGGATCATATGGCAAGAGAATAGCGCAAATCAGAAGGGATGGGTCCTGGCTGTTGATTCATCATCCATCGTCAATTCATCATACCATCGATGGGCCTAAATCAAGTATTATCAGTATAACTTAGACATAATATATTTTCTTAATTGAATAACGTTCTCAAGAAAGTTAATAAGTTTAGATCGTCACTATTTCATTTGTATGGGTAGGCCTATGCTAGGCCTACGTGATCTGGTTACCTGGGTAAATTCCAATGAAAACATTAGAACAAGTTTAAATCCTCATGACATTCAGTGAGGCTATTCCAATCGCAATCTAGGCTATCAAAGATGTGCGGTAGCGCACACACAACTGCCGGTTGACATAAGGTTAATAAGATATTCAAGCAATGGAAATATTTTGCTGTGTAGATTGGACCCCTAAATTAGTGGATGCACATGGTATACCACTCATTCGAAACGAAGCATGATCAACAATCTGATTTTTCAAACATTTCATAGTGCCTATTACTCAGAGTCCACGTTGAAGTATATTAGGAGCGACTTTCGATCGGAAGTTCCTCTAGATAATTATCATGGATTTTATTTCTGTCCTAAGTAACTCTCCCTTTGAGCATGTGTTAAATTGTTTATCCCGAGTAAACATTAGATTCTGGACATCAACATAACTTAGAAAAAATACCTTAGGGTACGTTTATACTCAACTTTGGAGCATATTGATGTTTCTCCGACTCTAAATTTTATGGCTGAAAAGAGCCCCCCCCCCCCTAACAAAATAGGGGTAGATAGAGCGAGAGAGAGAGAGAGAGAGAGAGAGAGAGAGAGATAGAAGAAAAATGGAGAGAAAAGAGAGAGAGAGAGAGAGAGAGAGAGAGAGACTGATATATAAAACTTGAGAGAGGATAAGGGAAATAATGTGAAAAGAAAGTTACATATCTCCAGAAGCACTCTCGGAAGCACTGGCGTATTTATAAATTTACAAGCAAGAACAACCTTTTTATCAAGCAAGAATTAAAAGGCAATGTCAATTATTATTATGGGAATTTTCTCAAAAATCTTCTACTCGGCCGAAACGGTGATCTAGCTGAAGAATATCCAAGTCCGGGATCCAATCCAACTCCCTGATTAGTGATTACAATACATGTACTTTCAAAATTGACGCGCTAGAGTAAGGGGTCTATAGATACAACATACAGTCTAGCAAATTACTTGTGCAATATTCAAAACCAAATCAATTCAGCCTATCGATTTCCTAATATCAGGGTTAGGCTAAAGCATCGCAAATGGAGACCACCGAGGCCAAAGAGATTTAAGGTTATAATTGATCTGAGCATGCGCACATTAGCGTTGCCATAAAACTATTTTCCCTACGCAACGGTACGCGGTTGCGGTTCGACATTCAACTTGATTTTTTTAGAGAGTGATAGATAATTCATTTATGGACCTTGTCAGAATTCAAAGATGAGAACTAAGTGTCCAAAACCTCTGAAAATATCGATGCAACCATGTCGCGGCCAGGTAAGTTGTGTTGAATAAAGTATTTTAACATATTTTATTGAGCTCCACGACGTAAATTTTATTCTTTTCTTTTCCCACATGTGCTAATTCGTGTCATGTTTTGAAAAGCATCTGGATCTAAGATTATTTACTGACACTGATTAAGAATGAATACTATCAAGAAAATAAAGAGGCTGGTTTAAAAGTAACCAGCCTCTTACTTGTCTTGATAGTTGAGACAACCTGCAAAAGGAAAACAATCTACCCCCATACCATTTCTTTATGATTGTTTTTTTAATACAGAAAAGAGTGAAAGTGAAAAAAAATTGAACTAAAAAAAGTAAAATAAAAAATTGTCTAAAGTAGGGCTGATCTGGAAATTGTGTGAATCAATGACATTTTCTACCATTTCCAGATAGACTATTGTAAGTATATGTGCCATAGCCCTAAATAGCTATGGACCTAATAGTAAGACTCTGACTTATGAGTGTGTAAACCCACATCATATTTTCTACTTTCTAGACATGTTTCAACTTCTTAATTTTTGTCTTTGTAATTATTTTCAATCGTACCAATAGGTTCTAGGACTAGGAGAAAAGGTCCTGGTATATCTTCATCCTCAGGAGCATCTACAGACCTTCAGTCTTGTCACACATGTGGGAGAACATTTCTGCCCGATGTTTTGGTAAAACTTCTCTTCTCTTTTTAAAAGTGAAATTATTAGATCTTTCCTTACGATAATCCTGTTGGAAAGGAAATTTGAATTATGAGCATACAAGTCATTATCTATAAAGTACTTGCAAGGTTCATCAGCCTTTTAAATGTTAAAATGAAGTTAACAGGGGTTTTCTGTTACTTGAGGTTTTTCTTATGAAATGATTCAGTCCCAATTAAGTGTTCATATAATCCAACAGGTTTGGAAAATAGATTTCTCATTTGTTTAAATCATAGAACTATTATGTGGGTGGCATGTCAGTCACAAATTGCTCGACATGTGAACACATTAAAGTAAGATGTATCCACATATCTTCTCATCAGTTTGTTAGATACTATTTTTATTATGAGAAATAAATTATAATAGATGTTGAACCCTAAATATTTAAGTCAGAAGAGTCTTTATTTTGGTTTTGTTCATAAGTTTTGCTTCTCGAATAAAATCATCTTTATAACCGAGTTCAACTTTGTGTTTTGGGGAAGAAGATAAGTCTAAATATTTACAGAAATATGCACCTTTTCTTCGTGTTGTTATCATTGTTTAATTGTTGAATCCTAATTGTGTTTTTTCCTGAACAGAAGAGGCATATTCCAATATGTGCCAAAGTGTTCAACTCTAAAAGGAGGGTGTTTGAGTCAGGAAGACAGAGGGTAGCAGGAACTGGAATATCCATCACAAAAATCGTAAAACCTGATAAAATAAAGGTAATTCATGCAGTAAAGATCAAGTTCAATTATTGATCATGCACAATCAGTATATGCACTCATCAGTAGGGCATGTAATATGTTATTTTCTCATTTGAGGACTTGATAGCTAATTATTTTTTTCCTGTATTTTGTATTTCTTTCTTTTTATTGGGCATGGGGACATATCTGTTTATGGATGTATTTTTTTTTTTATTCACTTTTATTTACATGCTCTGGCATACTTATTTATGGTCTTGACTTACAATCAGGAGATTAAAGGCATTGATCTAAATTTGCCAATATCCACCCAGGTGACACAATCTAGAGTAGTAGTAATGAATTGAGCTAATGCACAGTTGAGTGAAGAAGCACATAGTAAATGTGAAATGTTCATTCAGTCCTTAATGATAAATCAATATCCGGGAAAAATATGGTTATGTATTAGATCCTTGTTTGCTTGCTGAGTTTGTTTTGTGACTTTCTTCCAAACAGAAACAAGGTATAAAGAAGACAAACTGGAGAAACAATCATGCAGACTTTGTGAATGCCATCAGGTCAGCAAGGCAAGCCCAGCATGCTATCAACACAGGGCAGCCCCTCCCTCCACCCCCTCCTCCGTCGATCAATCCAGGTGAGGTGCTGATTTGATTATTTCATTGTCTGGACAAAATTTAATACAGCCTCTTCAGCAATCAGCATTTTATATTGGCGAGGCAGCTTTATGGATATTTTCCTTGTACTCAGACCTGATAAAAACCTGATTTAAATCGGTTTCCCGATTTAAAAAAAAAAAAAAAATCCTGATTTTTTTTTTTTCTTCCCGATTTTATTTCCCCCTTATTTTCTCTTTTCTTTCCTATTTTCCCCTATTTTCCCCTATTATTTCCCAATTTTTCTTACTCAAAGGGGGAATGTTGTTAGATGCCATTTTTCCCCCGAATCCTCTTTTTTTTTCTTTTTTTTTTAATTGCTCACTATCACCCCTGCATACTGTGGTCTTATCTGGGGGAGAAGGGTCGTGATTTGTTAGGTTTATTTTCTGTATCTGTGTTTGTATACGAGTCCATTATTCAAACCAGGGAAATTTGATGTAGGAGCAACATACATGCCAACTGTTCAGATTAAAGAGGAACATTCCTCTTTTTGGGAGAAGATAATTATCATTTTAATGCAGGTGTTCCTCTTCCTGTACAAATTTGTCTGTAGTATTGAATAGGAGAGTTAGGATTGTTCCTCTTTTTTTTGAAAATAGCATAATTTGTACAGATTTCTGATTTTCAAATGTTGGCATGTATGGAGCAAAACTTAATTGATTTGTGTATGTTGGTTTAAATCACTAAGCCTAACCATAGTTCCTATCCTGCAGATATTAGCAAGGTATTCTTTTTCCTTTTCTTTTTTTCCTTGTTCTTAAAATTCCTGTATGTTGTACTTCACCCTAGAGTCCTCGCTACTTCTTCGAAAGATACTCTAGACTTTTGCAGTATAGTTGTCCATTTTAAGATATATCTCCACTTAATTAATCAAAACTAGCCGCGGTTTCATTTACAATTCAATGTGAATCAGTGCTTCCTATCTGTATATATTTCTCCCTTCTCATCCAGATTACATACAGTGTCCACACTGTGGACGCCGTTTCAGCCAGACTGCAGCAGCCAGACATATTAACTTCTGTGGGGAGAGAACCAATACGTTTGGTGCACCTGTCAAGCCCCTCAATAAGAGAGCTGCAGCAGACGTCCAGGGGAGTAAAGTGGCCATCAGGAAAGCTGTAAGTCGATCTCTCCGTTATCAAGGCAACTTTATTGCCATTTTGTGCCAAATACAACCACAAATTACATTTTTTTAAATTAAAATGTGTAATCAGACGTTCATGTTTACTGCCATATTTTGATATATAAAATAGTTATTGAAGCCCCCCCCCCCCCATTAGTACATTTGATTACTGTACCTCTTGTTGTGTCTTTAATATATAGCTTAAATCAAGATATAAGTCTCTATTTCGAGTATACATAATGTTCATCACTAAGGAAATGAATCCTCTGTAAAAGAACAGTAGCTTATATTTACATGGGTAAAAATTCTAATAACCAACAACTTTACATCCTGAAATATATATATTAGTATCTATCATAATGCTGAATATAACTAATGTCTTATATGTCTATTCTAAAGTGTAGTATGATTAAAGTTATGTATTGGAAAAATGCAACTGCAAATGATGTATATTGTGAGTTAAATAATGAATAACGGCCAATATTATGTTCCACATTGCAGTATGACAACATTGTAGTAAGACGCAAGCCCTCTACCAACCCCTACGCCTATGCACAAGGTAATGGTGATAATGATGGCGTCAAGGTTTACTCTGCAGCGTTTGGGGGCAGTGGGCCTGATCAACAAGGTGAATATAACTCTACTCCATAACCTGACAAACACAGATAGACAGGGCTAAGGGCACTTTGCGTACCCCCACTATAAAAAGAACCTGAATAACAAAGTTAACTGAACACGAAGTCCAAACCCAGTTTGATTCTAGAAGCCCTCAATAAAACAATTTCATTTAGGGGCTTTCAATTAAACCTGCAACATTCGATTATTTGTCTGTGATACAATAACTTCATGTCAAAAGTAGCTACTTCCCAGATGCTGTCAACTTCCAGTGTCATTTCTAGTTTGCGATTTCCAAGAAGACAATGAGACTGAATGCATATAGTGCAAGGTAAGATTAAAGATGAGGAACACCCAGAACAAGATTGATTGAAGATATTAGAGAGTTATAACTGCATATATGCTCCTTTTCTAAAGCGTATGTTCTTGTGGCTGGTCATCAAGTGTGGCATATTATATGTGAAGAGTTGTATTTGATTTGATTTATCGGAATATAGTGTAATGTTACATTCTCCCTCTATAGAAATGAATCTTGTTAAAACACCCAAATCTAAATCAGTCTCTGTTGATTTCATTCAGCTTCCAAGGTTACTGCCAGACGTAATTCCACCTCACCCAGAAGAAAAATAGCATCTCCCAGACAATCATCTCGTAGGAGTTCGTCATCTCTTGTATCTTTGTCACCAAGGCAACAACCATCACCAAGGCAGCAGCCGTCACCACGACAACAGCCATCACCACGGCAACAAGCATTTTCTGGCCCACAACGGACATCTCCGAGGCTCAAGCAACTTTCCATAGAGCCATCATCATCACCCTTGTCACATCTATCCAGTTCCCCTCGTTTCCAGTCATCCTCGCAGCCTTCCGCGTCCCTATTGCCACAGACTGTATCCATGAAGCATTCCCCTTTACGCTCCCTCCCTCCAGCAACACAGCATCCGTCCTGGCAGCAGCCGTCTGCATTACAGAAGCTGCCCTCTCCTTCTCAAGAGATGACAACGATACAACCCCTGTCCGGCCCATCCAGCCCTCACCACCAGCAGTCCTACTCTCCGTCCTTGGCTGCAGGCCCCTCCTCCTCTCAGATATCCCCTCCTCCTTTTCCAGAAAGAAGCTTCAACTCATTACCACCATGGCAACAGGCCCTAAAGGCCGGCAGCAGCAGATCACCTCCAAAGGCAACACGACTTCCTAATGGACACATCAGGAAGTCAGGATTGATCAAATCAGGAAAACCCAAAGGAAATGTTAGGTATGTCAACCAGTACGCCAGCTAGTTAATATGTGGTCTTGAATATTGGCATTAACAAAAAGTAAAACGTTTACAAAAAGTATTCAAATATACCTTGAATGCTGAAAATGACAAACGAATGATACCTTCCAAAAATACATTTTCATAAAAATAAGTGCTGAGAAATTAGCATAGATAGCCAAAGAGGCCTCAAATCTGTACAATTCTGTGCATGCATATATACAAGTGTGTTGGTGGTTTTAAAAACTTTGGGTATTTTTTATTTTGTTGGTTTATTTAACTAATATCTGCCATGACATTAAATAATTTCAGAATTACGTTTTAAACAGATGAATTTTTTTCTTCAGAATATAAGATTGTCACATTTTGTTTGATAATCTTGTCCCAAAAACCAGACACATATGTATTTGTTAATTTAGCACCACGATCTTAAAGGTAAAGACCAGTATTGGAAACGCCCCAACTTCAAAAAAATGAAATGGAAGCTCTCATTACCAATCATGTGAAAGAATATGTTTTGACTAATACATGATGATAAAAAATTTGCCAGAAAACTGCCTACTAATTGATATATTTGGTAAATTTATTTCTCTCATGGTCTGTGAGAGATATAGGGTAGTCCCATATACATCTTTCTGTGTATAGTGCTTGTAACTTTACGAAGAATGGGCCAAATTTCTTATCATTTTGATGATTCCAGAACCTTGCAGATGCTAGATGCTAGATGATCAACCTTTTCTGATCGATTCCACAACGTTTCTTTCACAATGCAATCGCATGACCATAACTGGTCTTTACCTTTAAACTATCCCCCCCCCCCCCTCCTTCCCCACATTTACAGATTTGCTGATGATGTCCAAGTGAAAACATTTGGTGACACTTTACCGGGACCAGGTGATACAGGAGCGCCCTTTGACCTTGGCGCACCTTCTCAGTCTGCATATGCAATGCCAAACAGAGTTGATGAACAATTGTTATCTAGACATCAGGATCTCATGTCAGTGTTGAAGAAAAACTATGGTGATGATGTAATGCTAGCCACACCCGGCAACCACATGGATGAGATGATGCAGTCCAGGCATCCTGGGCATCCTCCTCCAGATTATAACAGTCTCGGCGGGATGAGTTTCCATGGCAACCAGGGAGGAATGCCTGAATTAACAGCCCAAAGCACAGGGATGCCCAGAAGTTCAACATTGAATGGTCCCCCTTCACATCTCCCGCCATCCTCCATGAGGACATCCTATCAAAATACGTATGGGAGAAATGATCACCAGTCGTATGACAGGTATGTTGAATTCCTGAAGGAATGTGAGAGAAAATCATACTTGTATCTTGTGATTACCTATTTTTATTAGGAAATGGAGATGAAACATGCATATAATATGAGTGACATTTCTCGTTATTTCATCAGCATAACTTGGAATTAGAAAGAAAAAAAAAAAAATTAAATACATTTGCTATGATTATAAGATGGTATACATCCCAGGTTTGCATCATCTCTTCTATGACGTTTGATGATATCACATGAGATGATTAAGTTGGCATGCAAAATGATTGTTGTTTTTTTCCTTCTTTCAGCACAACTCCTTTATCGCACAGCATCCCAACAGGACTATCCCAAGAACCTACCTCCAGCCATTCCGGACCTCCACAGGGGTATGGTAGAAGACCACGCCCAATTGGAGGCTCCCTTCGTGGGTCCGTTCCAACCAGGCCGTCACCCAGTGACTTCAGTAAGCTCTCCATCTCCGGTGGCATGCATGGAGGGGGATTCCCCGGAATGTGAGGTAATTTTGTAGAAGACCACGCCTAAATGGAGGCTCACGTTCTCTGTGGTCCTGTTCCTATTAAGCCATTTCCCAGCATCTTCAGTAAGCTCTCCATCTCTGGTGACATGCATTAAAGAGGGATTCCCCAAAATGTGAGGTGCAGTGGTGCAAGTTTTAGCTCATCAAAGATTGTCAGAGACAACGACCGCTTGCAGAATATCCATTCATAGTTGCCAGTGTTGAACTAGAGGAGAACCACATCATACAGCATTTAAGATGGTATGATTGTAGAAGAGGTATATAAACATTTTATGATTTCTGAGGAAGACCACTATAGTGGTCTTCCTCAAAAATCATTAAAATGTTTATATTCCCTATTGATCCTTGTTAAGGGCTCACTATGTAGTCACAAAAACAAAAACAATAGGCAAGTAACAAACTGCACGAAAATGATGATTAAACGGACCGAGAAATGCTAAACGGTTTGATGAATGCGATCGTTTAACCATCGGTTAAACATTTTGACTCAGGCTTACTCTGTACCGACCCATACTCCACTCCTGAAGTCAATTGGTGCATGGAAGTTTAAGATTACTTACTGAGGAATAGTAGACATCTTGTATTTGACAGAGCATAATCTTTTCTGGGTAATAGAAGACCAGTTTTTTTATGAAAGTAACGTTATACCAAACTTTGAATTTATTGTACATTATCTTTGTCTTTCCACCACTAGCTATGCAAGTCACATGACAATTTTCATTACCGGTACATCATTTATGTTATACACATCATTAGAAATATCAAAGTGGACTGGTATCGTATCAATTAGAAATTTGGTAATAGATCCAAATTCATTTCTATATGAATTTGGTAACGTCCAGAATTAAAACATGATAATTTTACAAAGAAGGTTTGTTTCAATTATCCATGTTGAAAATCAATGTTTAAATCTCTGCTTTGGACTAAAATTAAATGATTACATGTTGCTTGCCCATTGGACATGAAGATATTAATACTCTACACTTATCAACATTTAAAGTGTACTAGTCACAAAAAAAGTATTTTATTCTGTTGGTTAGAGGTTTCATGTCATAATACTACCGTAAATTCAAAATATGAGCTTCAATGTTACTTCTATTAAGAGATTTTGCAAGTTTAAATACACTCTTAATCAATATGCAAAAGCCACTTCTGAGTAGACCATCTAACTCACCCATACACGAGCGCATAAAATACGTGCCTCTCCTATTTGACACTTTTCAGTAAATGAAACAATATGCCTTTGATTTATTTATGTATCAAATACAGGGTTTTATATCAACCTCAATGCCTGGATATGCAAACACTAAATAAAAATATATAATTGTGTAGTACTTTTTTTTTTCTTTTTCGTGTTCATATTTTTGTGAAAAAGCCATTTAAGTGATAACCTTCATGCTAGTATTACTATCTTTTATTATTCCGAGATGTGTCATTGCTTTATTAAATATTGTGTGTCCAAAGCAGTAATATATAAATATTTATAAATTGTATAATCTTAAATATATTTTTACAAAGTCTTATGGACAATTTCTGCTGCAGAAGTTCATCAAATTACTATTACACTGACAGCTGACTGGTTGTGAGCATACTGAAAAAAATAGTATTTATGATTTAATTCAAATATTGATAAGATATATATATATATATATATATATAACAAATATCTATAAAGATCTGTAAGTGTTAATATTCTTATTATAATTTCATAATAAATAGTGTGCTCTGATTACATGATACACTACTTCTGACCAAAAAAAATAATGTTGGACATCTAGTGGACACTTTTATTTACATATTTATGGTATTCCTTTTTGCTATTTTGTTAAAGGAGGCATTAATTATGATAGAGTTTACGTAATACGAAATCATCTTGATTTTTATGTCAGAATTTCTACACCTTGAAATATAAATATATTTATTATTGTAAATTGTGAAATACAATATATATGTATATTATTTTAAGTTATATTGTTTTTACGATATATGTTGTAAATCAATGATATATGAAATGTGTTTTGATGTGCCTTTATGCTATAGGATTAGCTGATTTTACCCCCAGATTTTACCTCTTGACCAATGGAGGCATTATTATGTGATTTCACACAGGATGAATATATGTATAATTCTTAAAAATTCATATGTTTAAGTTTCAGAGAGCTGTTTAGGCCTGGTTAGGTTTAGCTTTAGGGTTAAGGTGGCAATTGGGTTTTAGGTTAGCCTGGTTAGGTTCAGGTTTAGGGTTAGGGTTAGGTATAGTGTTGGTTAAAATCTCCTGGTTTGAAGTGAAGAATTTGGTTAGTGTAGGAGCAATTGTTGCAGGAGCAAGTGTTGTACAACCTTCTTTCAACATTTGTGCCTTTTATTTTTCACAAAGTGGAAATGACAAAATTTGCCTAACTATGATAGTTTATTACCTAACTCTTTAATTGGGTACAAAACTATTGGAATATCATTCTGTTGGAATATAGTCCATGCAATGCAAAAGTTTTTTAATTTATTTATTTCTGATGCTGCCTATGTTGAAATGCCCATTTCTAAATGTTGTTGTTGGTTTTCTCATTTTATATAATTGATACATTTGCCTTTGTTGTCTATATTGAGTCGTGTACACTTTGTATTGTCCAGTGGAAGATAATATTGGACATTTTTTATCTTCTTGGAGGGAATATTGTTGATTTATCAGAGGTTCATTCACACACACAGTGTTATATTACATTTTGGTGTGGACATGTCGGGTGTCCCAAAGGGGGGGGGGGGGGGGGGGGAATGTAGGATTTCATCCATGTTGCATTGGTTTCCTACATAGGGGTTACATCTTGCATATATTTGATTTGATTTTGATTTGATTTTCTTCTGCATTCATGTAAACATACAGTTTTTCGATAACAATAATAATATAAAGTACAATCAGTATTTTTCTGACAATGAATCATAAATAAGCAAATACATATATATAAATTGTTATTTTCAAAAACGAAATGATAAACTGTCATAAATACTAAATTTCCTCAAACATGATAGTTATACGTGGAAATGTTTTAAAGAATTACAGAACGATTGAAGATAAATGTAATGCAGGAAGTATAAAACACAGTAGACTGTCAATAGAAATTGTAAATCTTTAGTTCTGTATATAATTTTTGATATGTGATCTAGCATTTGTTTTGTTCTTTTTAGTGTTTTTTTACAAGCTATTAGTATTATTGAATATTTGCCTTGTAGATTATGTATAAATAACCTGTTTCTTGCCAATTGATGCTGAATTAAAGCCAGGTTAAGAAAATATGTATGTGGAGAGGTACATGTAACATATTAGTTATTGATGAAACTTGAAACTTTTACTTAAATTAATGTAGTCCTGCTGTTAGCAGCGTGAATCATTAAATTGAATGCTTATATCTAGCATTGGTTGTATTGGTAGGTTAAAAGTCAGATTAAACGTTCAAAATTGATCGTTATTTTATGAATAATTTGAGGGAAGAGTATCTCGAACGAGAATTATGAAGTAAACTTGAAGTGTTTCACAGCATGAAACTGTCATGATCACCTGTCCTCAATCTACTGGTTGTACAGAAGTCACCTCCTGGATTTGCCCCAGATTACAAATTAATGTAACACCCTCGGACTCTATACCTCTCGGATCGAAGCCTACCTAAAGGGATTCCAGGGTCCAAATGATGACATTTATGAAACCTTTGTCGATAGGCCCTGTCATATTTTACCAGAGTTCACTGAATTTGCTTTTGGTGGGTTTCGTTAAATTTATTATTTGTAGTACTATAGGTCTAGTAGTAGTACAATATACAAAAATAATTTATTTTTCCATACTTGATTGAATGAATTCCGCGAATTTTATATGAAAATTCAGCAACATTTGTATTTAATATTAAGCTGATTTAGAAATACATGTAAAAAAAAACTTAAAATAGACCTAGACTATTCGAGTTCTAGAAATGTAACATGACATTATTCATTCAACGATGCATTGCTTTTGCAGCTGAATAAATTCAGTATAGACTCCATTATTGTCATGCGTTGTTTCATTTTCTTTTCTGTCTTCACTTCACAACTTTGTTTAAATATTTGATTATCTTTGTTATTCTCCACTGAGAAATATACTGGATAAATTCATTCTCTTGAATCCCAATTTATTTTTTATTTGGTTTGTTGAATACCAGGGAGGTGAGACACCTGACCTTCCTGGTCAAAGTTGATATTTTTTGTTGGAAGTTGTAGGGGGGGGGGGGGTAATCTAGATCTAGACCTATGAGCATTTGATTTGACAGTGAGTTTTTTGTGTCCATGACCATTTTTTTAATTTTTTTTAATGTAGACCTAGTTAAAGATAAAGTTGAGTTCTGGTAGATCTAATGCGATTGCATTGTGAAAGAAACGACGTGACATCGATCAGAAAAGGTTGATCATCTAGATCTATTGGGTATTGCCATTGGTGTGTTACGTGTGTAATATAGGCCTACGGTTCTGGAAAAAAATCAAAATAAGAATTTTGCCCAGCCTTGGTAAAGTTACAAGCACTGTCTGTAGGCCTAGCTAGCTAGGTCGACTACACTAGACAGAAATAACCATCTGATTTGGGTCATTTCTTTAATAAAACTGACATTTGTTGACATTCCCCAATATAATCGGAGGTCTAGTGGAGCCAGACGTAGTCTCTGTAACAACCGACGACTAGAGAGACTGAAGTTTTCGGTCTAGGTCTACACAGGAATAGCCTAGACCGTATGTAGGATGGGCCTAGATCTAACTTCTATAAAGCCTAGACCTCTACACGAACATGCATGATGCGGCATGCTGTTACATCATGCCTTATTTGAATAAGAAGCCTTTTGAACATGTTGAAGGCATTTGAGAAGCCATGCTTTTCAGGGAACATTTTTATCTGATTTGCTTCCACACTCACTAGAATCTACATAGATCTAGACCTAGGCCTAGACTAAGAACAATGGGAACACTCACAAATTATTTTTTACCTCTTCCCAGAACTCCTAGACCCTATTCTCTGTTTTAGTTTAAGTAGACTCTAGATCTAGAATCTAGATCTAGACTAGATCTAGACCTGAATGATGATAGGCCTAGATCTAGATCTACGGAGAGTTTAGAATTTGATCTTTCTTGGAAATGTGGTGGCTCTAAAAAGAGCCGTTGGTTTTAGATGTCAAGCTGACAATCTAAGCACGCTCGCCACGGATGCGGCGGGCCAGCTGGATGTCCTTTGGCATGATGGTAACACGCTTGGCGTGGATGGCGCAAAGGTTGGTGTCCTCGAAAAGACCGACCAAGTAGGCTTCGCTGGCCTCCTGAAGAGCCATGACGGCAGAGCTCTGGAAACGGAGCTCGGTCTTGAAGTCCTGAGCGATCTCACGGACCAGACGCTGGAAGGGGAGCTTGCGGATGAGCAGCTCGGTACTCTTCTGGTAGCGACGGATCTCACGGAGAGCGACGGTACCGGGCCTGTAACGATGGGGCTTCTTGACTCCGCCGGTGGCTGGGGCGGACTTGCGAGCTGCCTTGGTGGCCAGCTGCTTGCGAGGAGCCTTTCCTCCGGTGGACTTGCGAGCGGTCTGCTTGGTACGGGCCATTTTGATTTGCTGAATGTGATATCAACTGATGATTCAAAAATCCCGCACTCGTATTTATATCAAAATTGTACGAAGATGATTGGTTAGTCGTGCGACAAGCAGTGATTGGCCATTCGCTATATCAAGCACAGTATGTGATTGGGTACTGTACGCTTTCCTAATATATTCATGATTTCTTCGGGCCTCGTCGTGTGATTTTGTACATGGTCATTGTAGTAAACGTTATAAGATTATGAAATATTAAACTTAATTACATCCTAAATTGCATCGTTATCGCTGTAAAGTAGTATTCGTAATTGTATTACAGAAATTTATACGCTAATACGTAATATTCGTTAGGTTTTAAGAGAAGAAAGGTCGTACTGGATTGGATTTTCGAGATCGCTGTAAAAATGAATAATTCATTAACAAACCGGCTTTCCTGTCGTCGACATTTTGGCTTTTTGAGAAGTATGTTATCATTTATCAATAACAGCATCCATCAAAATTGAAAATGAAATGATCGATATTGAATAGAAAATGATATGGACTATTTTTTCACCAAACAAAAGTAGAAATTGAAAGAATATTTCCACGTTGTTTTCTATTTTGGCGAGCAAACGACTTCAAGGAGTCCTGATGAATTATTCATAAGGTGCTGGCGACCTGTTGTAAACGATTTTGGTCAAGTAAAATACATTCATGTTCTCTTGTCTACTGTGCAATATGTAAACTAATACGCTTAAATACTGTATTGAGATGAATTAAAGTGTTTAAATAGTATTTGATAACCGGAACTCTGTTCTTGAATTTTTTATACCGATTTGAGTAAAGAATTTGTTCATAACGAACGTGCGATAGTTTATGCAAATATTGCATCGACGAAGCGACGAGATTTTAGTCCCCTTGACCGTAGGCGGCTCACTCTCAATAGAAATTATTTAGTACACTCGCGTCCGCAAAGGAGTTATATATACCCGCCGAAACTCACTTTTCAGTACAGATTTCTTCAATCGTCAAATCTACAAGTCAATATGTCTGGACGTGGTAAAGGAGGAAAAGGACTCGGAAAGGGAGGCGCCAAGCGTCATCGCAAGGTTTTGCGTGATAACATCCAGGGAATCACCAAGCCCGCCATTCGCCGTCTTGCCCGACGTGGAGGTGTCAAGCGTATCAGCGGTCTCATCTACGAAGAGACCCGTGGGGTCCTCAAGGTCTTCCTTGAGAACGTCATCCGTGATGCCGTCACTTACTGCGAGCACGCCAAGAGAAAGACCGTCACTGCCATGGACGTCGTCTACGCTCTGAAGCGCCAAGGACGTACCCTGTACGGATTCGGCGGTTAAGAAGGAAATACCTCTTAACTCGGCATATCAAACGGCTCTTTTTAGAGCCACCAAATATCCAAGAAAGAATCAATAAGAATCTCTAACTAAGTTTGACAGCACATGATCTAGAGTCTAGTCTAGTCTGAATGAAGTGTGTGTGGTGACCAAAGTATGCGGGGCTTCTGAAAGTATTAATTCGAAAGTCTAAGTTAGAGTCTAAAACTAGATCTAGGTCTAGAGTCTAGAGTCTAGACTACTCTGGAGAGTGATAAGAAATGATCTGTGATTTCCAGGCCTGATAATTACCCAAATTTCCCCAATGTTCTCACTCGTAAGGCAGGGAACCTGTTACATGCCATTTTTTTAAACAAAAGGGGGGGGGGGGGGGTGATTGAGGGAAGGAACAAAAAATTAGTGCTCACTAACAGTAACCCCTGGATTTCTCATTCTCAAAATAGGCCTAGGAATAGGATAACTAAGTTACCCCCTAGGCCTAGCCTAGTTGTCCGGGGGGTAAGTGTCCCATGGGGTGGTCGTCGTAGGGGGTAGTTGACCGGGGGTGGATGTCCAGGGGGTAGGTGTCCTAGAACTATATACCTTTATAAGATCTAGAGGATCTATACCAGTGGCGGATCCAGGGGGGGGGGGGGGGGCTTGAGAAAAGTCATGTAAAATCACGCGATTTTTACCTTTTGGGGGGGTTGGGCCCCCACCGAGCGACTTTTCGGCCGGCGCGATTTTCAAATTTTCGGGAGCAAAAAAAAAAAAGTTGGGCCCCCTCCCCTAAGAAATCCTGGATCCGCGCCTGATCTATACTATAGTCTAGGTGGATGCAGCGCTCTGTTGGGGGGGGGGGGGGTTAAGGGAGTCCCAGTGCCCCCTCACCTTTTTTTTTAAGTACCCCGAAAGTGCCCCTCCCCCTTTAATTCGGAAAACTACCTCTTATTTACTTCGGAAAATATCCCTTCAGATCTATAATAGTAGTAGGTCTCCTGATAAGTGCCCATTTTCCTTTCTGGAAAGTCCGCGCCCGATATATTATTGTCACTTTAATCTTTATATAGATCTACCTATGAATAGCCAGTGCCCCTCCCTATTAATTTAAAGTGTGACTAATTACGAATTTATGTTGACTTTTGTTGATTTGTAATAATGTACACATAAAACTAAAAGGGCACACTTTTAGGCGATATTGGGAAATAATTAAGATTAAGAAGCAGATCAAAAATGAAAATAAAAAATAACAATTATACAATGCTCACTCGTAAAAAGATTCAATTACATTTTAAGCAGTTGCTATATCAGAAATTCTTAAGCAACACCATGAAAAGAAGGGTTTCAATGGGCAAATATGAAAACATGCAACGCTATCTGATGATATCAATGCAATCTAAATGGTTGAGGACTTACTTGTCTTTTGTTCATCTAGCTGACTGATGAATGATTGGAATGATGATGTCACAAAAGTCATTTGCTTTTTGAGGTTTTTTTTTTTTTTTTTATAGGGGTGGAGATTAGCAGGTAGAACAAAAGTATTAGAAAAAATCATATGAAATATATGACAAAAATGTAACTCTAAAAGTCAAGAAATATGTGATGTATAAATTTAAGAAGTGCCCCTTTTTAAATATGTAATAAGTTCCCCTAATTGTCACTTTTGATTTATTTTTTATCTGCTTCTTAATTATTTCCCAATATCGCCTAAAAATGTCCCCTTTTAGTTTTATGGTCATCTAAAAAGTTGTATGTAGCTTTCAAAAAATTGTCGCATCTATGAGTAGTAAATTAAGACTCAACATACAGCAGGGGGGCGAGTCACATCAATATGTCCAGAAATCCCTCAGAAAAAACGTGCATGTGCCCCCCCCCCCCCTCCCCCAGCCTACTGTAGTCGATGGTGTGAGGAATAAGATTTTTAGAGGGGAAATTGGAAATTTATATTATCAATTTAAAGAGAACAATCAGTGAATAGTGAGGCGATGACGTCACAGACTCATGAGTGAGTCGCCAATTTGTCTCGTGATTTTCAAAGTTTTTCATGTTATTAAAAATTCATAACTTTCTTATTAGTTATCCGATTTTGTTTAAACTTTTTTCGATGTGGTTGTCCGATTTTTCTGCGTTCCATTGAAAGTAGGGCTAGCTAAGTCATTTTGGGGTTAGTTGGATTTGCCCTATATACCAGATGGTTATTTCTGTCTACTCTAAATTGACATAAAGACAAACTGGGAATAAGGCTAATATGAGCAATAGACGAAATGGAGATTAGACCAAATGTTGAATGAGAAGTAGACAAAATTAATGATTAATCGACCATGTGGATAGTAGACCATATGAGAATAGACCAATTGGGTAGTAGACGAACTGGTGGTAGACCAAACGGCCATGAACAGTTAGATATTTTAGTCACATGTTTGCCTGAAATGTAGACTAGGTCGTGTTATTCACTTTTCCATCGACAACGCGAGTGTGACGACTATTTACATCATTTGTGGAAATTGTAAGTTCTTTGTACATTCTTATCTTTATAATTAGTTGAAGGAATGTCTTATGATAGTAAAAGATAAAGTTTGAATAATTTTACAAAATGAGAAGGTAAATTTGAAGGTGATATTGTCTGATAATTTGGGGACGAAATGGGCTGAATATGGTGCAGGGAAAATGAACGAATGGGACTAGAGTCTAGGCTAGATCTACTACAAGTACGTACTAGCTAAGGTAGCATATATTGGCACCAAGATTAACGGCGATATGAATATTCATTATTCCCTACGTCACAGACGTGCGGCGTGCGTACTCTGTCATATACACATGTATTCAGTACATGAGTACGTTCGTAAGCATTAGGTCATGTACATTGCTCCGGAATGAAGAGAATCATTATAAAGGACGAATTACTCCGTGAAGCCAAGTACAAGCAGGGAATTGAAAATAGCAAACGTTCCTTGGAGCGGCTATACACTCCCTAATCTAGCTAGTTTTGTAATGATAGTTTATTTAGGATAATGGACGTTTTGTAGGCCTATTGTTTAGTTGTTAAATAACATCACTCAGTGTGATTTGATTCGAGATATAGTATAAAGGCTGTATGAGTCTCGAACGAACCATATCGCCACTAATCTTGGTGCCAACACCGTTAAACTATGCTCCAAATTTAGTAATACATTTTGTGTGCCCTATAATGACCCGGGGTTGGATTATTTAGGAGAACAGAAGATTGATATTGTTAAGTTGTTTCATAACATCACTCAGTTTGATTTGATTCGAGATATATCTCATTAATAAAACAGTATAAAGGCTGTATGAGTCTCGGACGAACCATCGCCACTAATCTTGGTGCCAACACCGTTAATCTATGCTCCAAATTTAGTAATACATTTTGTGTGCCCTATAATGACCCGGGGTTGGATTATTTAGGAGAACAGAAGATTGATATTGTTAAGTTGTTTCATAACATCACTCAGTTTGATTTGATTCGAGATATATCTCATTAATAAAACAGTATAAAGGCTGTATGAGTCTCGGACGAACCATCGCCACTAATCTTGGTGCCAACACCGTTAAACCATGCTCCAAATTTAGTAATACATTTTGTATGCCCTATAAAGACCCGGGGCTGGATTGTGTAGGAGAACGGATGATTGATATTGTAAAGTTGTTCCATAACATCACTCAGTTCGATTTAATTAGAGATATACCTCATTAATAAAATATATATATATAAAGCTATAGTCTCAAACTAACTTACCTGTACACCATTAAACTTGGTGCCAAGACCATTAAACCATGCTCCAAATTTAGTAATACGTTTTGTGTGTCTGCAAAGACCCGGGGTTGGATTATTTAGGAGAACGGAAGATTCCTATATTGTTAAGTTTCTCTATAACACAGGCGCGGTTCCAGGGGGCAGCGCCCCCCCCGCAAAAATAAAGAGAGAGAGAGAGAGAGAGAGAGAGAGAAAAGGAAAAGAAGGACAGGGAAAGAGGAGAGAAAGGGAAAGAAAGAAGAGGAAGAAGACAAGAAAAGGGGGAAGAAGGAGATTGGGGGGGGGGGGGGAACGAAATGGCCTTGCCTTCCAGGCTGTTGCCTCCCCGCCCCCCCCCCCCCCCCCCCCAATCAAAAAAAAATATGAGCGAAGGAAGGAAAGGGAAGGGAAGAAAGGAAAAGAGGAGATAAAGGGAAGGGAAATAAAAGAGGAAGAAGAAAAGAAAAGAAGGAGGATATCAGTTTTCCTGCCAATAAGTTGTGGTTCGGGGGGGGGGGGGGTTATTTCTAATTCCATAACGGTGACTTACAAATGTTGCTAAAATGACATCATTTTCCGAGATTGTTCCTCACTTTTTATTAAATTATACTTTTGTATGCGTTTGTTGGAAAATGACATATTCCGAAATTTACAGTCAGGCAAGAAAAATATGCTTATTGAGATGCCTACATGTCGGGGCCCGCGGAACGGTCGGGATCGGGAGCCTCGAGCTCCCTCGCCCTCCCCCTCTTTTTTGAAAAAGTATATTAAAGAGAGCAAGAAATAAAGAATAGTGAACTGCCAGTGTCACAGAAAAAAATGAGGTATCAAAATATGCTCATCTGAGCGTGATTAAATGCCTAAACCCCCCGAACTTTCGGGGTCTCTACCCTCTGGATTCCACCTAGGGCCCAAAGGTCGGCCCTTAAATGCTCATCTGACGGTAATTTAAGGCCTAAAACCCCTGGAATTCTTGGGGCTTCGCCCCCTTTACCCCAAGCCAAATAGTGTCTTGCAAATGTCACAAAATAATAAGGTATCAAACATTGCTAACCTGACCGTAATAAAACGCCTAAAACCCCTGAGCCTCCGGGGGCTCTGCCCCTGAACCAAACCAAGGGCCCTAAGGCGGGCCCCTGAATGCTTATCTGACGGTAATTAAACACCTAAAACCCCTGAGCTTCCGAGGGCTCTGCCCCTAGACCCAACCAAGGGCCTTAAGGCGGGCCCCTTGATACTCATTTAATTTAATGCCTAAAACCCTTGAGCTTCC